TCCACATAATAATAAACACCCCTTCCCCCCCCTCCTTTAAAAAAAAATCGCGTGTGCCCTCGATGCATCATTACAGGACCCATCAAAGCTTGGCTCCAACATGTTTCTAAAAAAGATGGGAAGAGAGTCTGGAAATGTTCCTGCACTATGGATGCCACCTAACTGAGGAGCACTCCGCCCGAAATTTTGCGGTCGCTGAGCCGCCAGCCTTTCCTCCGTGAGCATTCCCCTTTGCAACTTGGATTTGTTTGGATGAGAGCGGAGAGTACTGTAAGCAGGTAGTCCCAGACTCTAGAGGCTTCCCCAATCAGGTTTGCATGCTAGGGCCGCTGCCTTCAAATGTCAGCAAAGCCTGCAATAAGGCAAGTGGAAGATCTGGCCTCGCTCAACTTTCATGTGCTCGCGCAGGCGGCACTTCTTGCCCAACATGCTCTCGCTCACAGATCTCTTTGCCTTGGCTTTCAGAAGTACATGTAAGCCCAGGGCTATCCAGGGCTGCTAGGTCGCTATGGCATCTCTGGCCCTTCCCTGCGCCAGGAGGAGGGCTTCCTGCAGGAATTGGTTCTCACCTTGGCAAGCTTTTGTTTCTCAAGCTTCTTTGCAGGGCTATTGACAGTCAAGAAGATCTGAAGCTACAACCTCTTGCTTGTTGCGTAAGTGGGGCTTGCTGTGGGCAGAGTAGAGAACTCTAGAAAGTTGACAGTTTCCGGCCAAACAAATGGAGTGAAGTCTCGAGATGAGTCGCTGTGTACAGAGGGCTCTTTTATTGGCATTCCATGCTCCAAGAAGCGGATGCAGCTTGTACCCTTCTTGACGCGCCAAGCTCCAGATGTTCTAGTCATCTCCGTCAACGACATTTCAAGGATGCCACCATAGAGATGTAACCTTTCAAAGTCAGGTCCCAGATATCTTCAGACACGCTGGCTGCCACTTGCCTGGGGAATCAAAATATGTTTTTGAAAAACGATGAGAGATGCGTCTTTGTGTTCGGCTCAACAGCTGCAGTGGAGTGCAGAGGTACGTGATGGTCGATGGTATATGTCTTCCGATTGGGAATTGCCAGGTCGTAATGTGTCAGGGGTCTCACAAGAATATGTTTGGAATCTTTTGGCTGGAAGCTACTGTACGCCAACATCCAGGGCAGAAGTCACCTGCAAAAAGCCGTGCATCACTGAAATCGCAAAATCGCACACCTTGAGGCATTGAGAATTGCAGCATTCCGGAGAAGCAGCTGATGGCTTATCCGGAGGAAGTCTTCAAGGGCTACAGACTCTTTGGCAGTTTGATTTGGAAGCTGTGGGAACTTTGCACATTATCCGTCACACACGCATACTTGGCAAAGACGAACCTCTTCAGTGAGACGTGCTTGTGAAAATGGAGTTTCAATCTGCAGCCAGCATGCTTGCATGAGACGCTACAACACCCATGACTGCTTTTGGAAGTGTTTCTCTGATTCTGACTTAGAACACGTGCTAAGGAAAGAATCCGTTCCACAACGCATACCACGGATTTGCAGTTTATCAGCATCCTGGATGCAGATTGGCAAAAAGCCTTTGAGACCGACTTTGGCTCTGTTGCACTGCCATAGGAGTGGCATGATGTGGTTGCAGTCATTTGCACTTGACGCCAAGCCTTCCGCGCGATGGCATTCCAACGTGGTGCATTCAGGAAGCGTATCAGGCACTATGCATCCAAGGATGTGCTTCCACCAGTTCAGTACCATCGACACTTTCAGCCTCATCACAGCTACGCAGGCAGGAGCGTTGTCTGGAAGAAAGTTGATGACCCTGCCACTTGATGGCCAAGTCTACAAGTTGCATGGTTTCTGTCCTTCATGAGATTGAGACAGCTCAATCCCTCGTTTGCATTTGTCTGCACTCAAATTGCTCTCGCGTGCGAGGGCTTCGGGCTATTGGTGGCAGCATTGTGCCACGATATCGACCACCCAGGCGCCTGAACTTGACGTACCCAGCTGTCTCAGTCACGGATAGGATGCAGTGAATCATTGACGTCACAGACCCAAATACTTCTCACTGGTTCTACTCGTACGCTCTTTCACAGTCTTTCAGACCATTCCTTATCATCAGCGTCGTGGAACTGTGCAGCTGAAACGGTGATGTCCGCGACGCAGGCGTCACCAACAGCTTCCTGATGAGGCAACTTGGCTCAAAGCTTTGTGCCGATTGCGGTTGTGCTGCGCAGACTGCAAGGCCTCCCGACTCCTGCGCTGAGCAAGGTAAAACCCCCATGCCAACCTTTAAATGCAAGCTGAACTGGCATCGTCTCTGAGTGTGGCCAGTATACCAGCCACCGCAACCGCGGTCCACTTGCATTTTGCAGGTCCATGTGAGTGATCCTTCTCAGGCTGCAAGATGACCTTGCCCTGCGCTACAATGACAGCTCGGTGCTGGAGAACCACCATGCGCAGGGCTCCCAGAGAGGACTACAGGCCCCAGAACGAGATTCCTAGATTTGGCAGCTTTGCTTCCACGTTGCTATTGGCTCGCTGACATTTTCTGAAGGAATCATGGCTTCGACATGCATCCACTGTACCAACAAAATTCTTGGCTTGAAATGTGCCAGGGAAAAGGCTGATCAGTCATTTAGAGGGAAATCTCAGAAGTTTGCTGTTTCTGTCCTGAACCCCCTCGCAGAAGAGACGGCAACGAGAGGGCCACCTCGCAAGGTCTGTGGCATGCACTCTGCTTCGGAACGAAAAGACGGCAATAGGCAGGATCCCAGTGTGCGACTCGCGATGCAGGACCTGTCAGGGCTTGAGCTGAGGCAGCTGAGTGACTCGCAGGCTAGTAAAAGCTTTAACGTTACCGCGCACCGCCTCCGTCTGGCTGGAGGTGAGCTGGCGAGGCTGGCGGACAAGCGGAGCACCCGAAAGCTGAACCTAAGAAACCCCAACTTGAACTGCGGGGAGGAAACTGGCTCCTGGAGACCAGCCCACAGTGCTGGGAGTTCCCAGGCCTACAAGCCGAAACGGCAGCACTCATCGCAACTAAGCTCTGCAAATACTATGTCACAGAGCCGTCACCATGAAGGATTGATGGCTCAAGTTCTGGGAGTATTGGGTACCGTATTGGGTACCGGTGCCGTGCGATTTTGTTCAGAGCAGGGGCGAAGGGAGGGCGGGGTGAGAAAGAGCGAAGGGGGGACTGGGGAGGATGGGGGAAGGGGAGGTGCCTGTCCATTGGAATGACCGAAAACATCGAAACCCTAAGCCTGACCCCAAGGCCTTCGTGGGGGTCTTCCGGGGCTGCACACTCAAACAGCGCGTCGGCATCGGCACCCTTGGACCATGGCCTGCTGGGAAGGGGGGAAGCGGTGGGTAGTCTCTACCCCTCAAATGTCAGAGGTCAGAAACCTCGGCGGATTACAGGGCGAGGCTCCAATTGCAAAGGAAGCTGAGACAACTGCATGTTCGTTTGTGCTGCACTTTGTGTTTTGAGAATGGGCAGGCAGCGGCTTGGCCAAGGAAGAGCAGGCAGCTTTAGGGTGTAAGCAGTCTGCAAATTGGTGAGCTGCATCCTTTCAATGCACCGTGCATGGGGGCATAAAAAGGGCACTGAGCCATTCTTGTGATGCTCTCGCGGCTCCCTTCAGCACTTCAAAGACTTCGTCCAAGTGCAGGTGATTTTCCGCAAAACCATCATCAAGTGCATCTTAGCCACCGTGGCCTGGACAACGCAACGAAAGTTCTGAGTGACTGAGTAAGCTATGCTGGCAGGGATTATTTGAGTGCGGCTCCTGTTCTCGCTGCCGCGTACAAGCCCAGGACATGGCACACCATCAAGGTATCTGCCAGCGTCTCATAGGCTGGCGTTGTCAAAAAGGTGTGAGGACAAAATGTGCGATACGATAACCGACCAGGCAAGACTAGAACCCGACAAGCAGGTATAAGAGCGCGCTTGTCTTTACTTCAAACCCACCCTCTCGTGGTTTTAAATCCACGAAATGTGCTTCAGTTTTATTTTGGGGACTGGTCTCGATGCCTGGAAGAGGCTGCGGCAGCGCTGAGGACTTCAAGGCTACAGCCGAGGAAGATCCTCAGCTTCTAATGCACCCTGGCTGCATGGCGAGACTCCTCTTTGCACGATGCTGCTGAATGAACTTTGACAAAGCAACATCATAAGCAGTGAGCGGCTTGAAGCTATTGCAGACTCCTCATGCATGCTTCAAAGCAAATCCGGTCAGGAACGTTTGCGTCCACGCATCAGTTGCCCGGCTGCGAGTCAGTACTGTCTGATGTTGGCTCGTAGTTGGAGGATTTGATGCCAAGCCACCATCATTGGTGCGGTGGGAACTTTCAGCATTGACGTGCCTCTACAGAAAGTGCCCGCACAGAGAGAGAGGCAAAGCTGCCCATGTAAGATTCACTTTTCCCAGCTGCTCAATTCAACATAAATCTACTTCTCTGATGGAAGAACAAGCGATGAGCATCATGTCAGCCTGCCTGCAAGCCAAATCCAATTTTTGCTCTAAGGACCTGTCCGCCCAGGCACTGACGTGGGAGGTCTGGTCAGATGTGCGATTCTGGAAAGGGTTTCAGGCTAGAGTTTCAACAACGCATGACCTGCAAGGTGGCCAAGAAGTGGGAAGAAAGGATTTGCCAGGAGTCTCGCGGCGGAAATTCAGCACAATCGGTCCAAACGATACGGACACAAACAATAATTGCCCACTAGCTCCTGAGGTTTTTGGCGCAGGCGGCCAAGGACGCAAGCAGTCCGGGTCAGCCAAATGGATGAATACATGGTTTAGCTGTCCTGCGAGTTTTGACGAGTCATTGCCCAGTCACAGCCCCATGACGACAACTTGCGAAAATTGAGGCGCAGGCCGCTTTTGTGAATCACGACAAGCGTTGGGCAGTTGTCTAGATCTGCTTCGTGTTCCGGACAATTTCCGTGTCTGGTCCGTCCTGCAAGGCCACGTCCAGGTGGCTTTGGCCAGGGTTAGCACACGTTTTCACAGGAGAGCAAGAATCAAGTTTTTCTCCTTGACTCGGCCTGCTTACACACATGGCCGAAACAGCAGGGACATAGACAATTCTCAAGACTCCTGCTTACTGAGCCTAAGCGCCTTGCAGCCGGAGGAGGTGGAGATGGGCTTCACCCCTGAACCATTCATGCAGTTCAAGATGGAGGACAGTGGCAGAGCCAGCTTTGGAAGCTGCAACCTGCCAAGCAACCCGCCAAGGCTTTCAGGATGTTCGGAGTGCTCACGTGAGGGAGTTGCAGAGCACTTTGCGCGTTTCTCTGCTCCTTGTGAGAGCCATCTCTTGAACCATCATGTCGCATGGCAGTGCCCATCATGACCAGGTATCCCTGAAGTCCGCAGAGCTAGTCATGATCATGATGGGTATGAGCTTCTGATCTGGAATCTGGTAGTTCCCCCAGCTGCTGCGAGGACTTGAAGCAAAGGGGCAAGCTGCAGCGGGACTTTGTGGACTTTGTTTTGCGGCCGCTGTGGGCCCCTTGCCTGACCCCCTTAGCTGAGCTGTGCTTGAAGATCTAACCCCAAACATGATAGATCACCCATAATCATGGATAAAACCGTGGTCCTCACCAGGCAGCTCGCCTCCACTACTAGCACACGTTTCGCAGAAGCCAGCTTAAGAGAAAGTACAATAAGCAACCTGCTGCCAACCTTGCCCAGGAGCCTCTCGCACAGCCGCCTGGTGGCAGATTTTAGCAGACCTGCCCAGTCAATACCCCTCACTGGTACATGCCGTCTATGATTCAGGCATGCAGCCGGCCCTCAGAAAAGTCCACAGCATTGCTACGCGATTAGCTTCCTGTTGCACGACACTTCCTGACGCTAGCACAGCACCTGCCCAGGTATGCAGTTGAATTTCAGCACTTGTTGTTCCTGACACGGGCCCGCTCATTGACCAGTAGCAACTCCACACTGTGTTTGTCAGATGTATATCAGTATCTTGAGCTGCCCCACTGCGGCTTTTGTTGTCTTCGCGGCTGATTTGCAGAGCAGGGAGTGGGCATCATTAGTCGGAGCCTGGAGCATTGGCGGACAAGCAAATAGCAGTACCAACATAATGTGGAGGACAACATGCTGAGCTCATCAAGCTTCTGTCCTGCGGGCAAGGTGAAAGCAGATCTCTGCGTACAGGATACATGACTGTGCGTGAACATAATCGCTGCAATTCCATAACAAGTTCCATAAATACTCTGGCTCAGGCTCGAGCCCAGCTTGGACCCATGCCTGTCAAATCTGATCAAGCACCTCATCAGCAGAGCAGAGCGGTCTCCAAGTACGTGTTGTGGCGCTTTGTACCATGTCAGTTCACGTGAGCATGTCACGAGCTGATATCCCAGGAATCGAACCCTCTATGAAGTGCCAGGGCCTGAGATCCTCCACATTCTCTGGCCAACAGGACATTCAGGCTACCTGCCCGAACACGGAAGCCAAACTACTGAAGTTTGTACACCGCACCTCAGTCAAGGTCAAATTCAATGTTGCTGTATTCCACAAAATTTACAAACGGATTGTTTTGATTTTGTTGCTGCGGAAGTCGTCAGAGTCATACTTTTCACCAAGGTTTGCCGGATGCTTTACTTCAATCTGCAAGACAAGACCTGATAAGCCTCGAGAATCACGCAAGCCACCCCCGACACGCACACGCACTTACAAAGCCACAAATTCAACAGGCACTTCAATATGGAAGGCAACGGATCTGGGAATGCAGCGCATCTGGAAATGCAACAAAATCTGGCACGGCAACATACGGCAACGTGAAAACCTTGAAGCAGTTGACAGCAATCATCTGTCATATTAGCACCTGATACGCAGGCTTTCATGTTGCCAACAACATTAATCAGGTCTTGTTCCCACTTGCATTTGCAGCTTTGTTAAGTGTAGTAAGGATACAAATACCGCGCGCGCCTTCAATCATGTTTTTGAAGCTGTATTCCAGCAAAAGATGATGCTTAGCTTTTGCGCTATGTTGCGAACATTTGCACACGCCACGAGCCATGAGTGCTAACTCGCTAACTTGTGTTATGTGTCTTTTATGCTAGTTGCCGCAGACGACATGCTGTTCATCTGCAGCTATGATCTGTGCTTGCACCCTAGGGGCTTTGATTCTTACTTGTGAACAGCTGTGCCAACACGAAGCCCACTGCTCCTTTCAGTCGGGGACATGTGCTGAAGCAAGCCTGTCTGAGCCCAGTCACGACAAGAATTACTGGCGAAACAATCATCAAACTCATGACCGCTGCTTGAAGGGGTGTTGAACAGCGCGCAACAGCCCGTATGAAACGTGCAAACAAAAAACATAATGTATATGCGCGCGTGTGTGCGAGCCAAGGCGGAGAATTTATGGCTCTGACCAGATGGATGAAATGGCGGATTCCGTGCCTTCGACCAATGTTATCCTTTTATCCGTCAGAAGCTTAGAGAAACCTCAGACCATCTCAGACCTAAAAGCTAAGGATTTGGACTTGCTCCTCCCTGGCATGCCTCGCGGTGATGCGCCCCCGCAGCTGACTCCGCGGACGGTGGCCAGAATCGTGGAGGGGCGCTCGGAGAGCAAGGAGAGTAAGTAGGCCGAAGTCCAAACTTACTTGTACAATGTCTGCTTGTTTTTAGGCACAAGGAGAAAATGCCGTCATCCCTCTCAAGGAGGGAAGGATGGGCGATAGGGCGGAAGCCTGATCTTCGAAAAGATCATGGGACCAAGCAACCTCGTGCCTCGTGTGCACGCAAGCATGATTCCACAAATCCCAACAAACATTCGTCAAGCTGGCAAACTGCAACAAGCCAACCCGTGATGTCCGTTAAGTCGCGGGAACAAAGTTTTCTCGCAGAGTGCTATCTGAACACGCACTCCTTTGGCATCACCTCCAGCTGGAGAATCTCTGGCTGACTGCTTCCAGGGGCTTGGCTGCCTTATTGCTGCTATCATATCTTAGCATACTCAGACCAGATTCCGAATAAGGAATTTGCTGCAGACAGTGCCTTGGCACTGGCAAGATAGGTCAAAAATTGTCATATCTTGTGGTTTCACCAGCAACCCCGGACATCCTGGCAGTGTTGGCTGCTTGGTGATCATCGGTGGGCGTGTACAAAAAAAGGACTTGACAGGCATGGTGACATTTGTGCTTGTGGAAGGAATTACAGCCTGCCCCCCTCTTGAGCCGTTCTTACGTAGCTTTGCGGAATGATGAGTTTGCATCATGACGAGGTTGGTTTTCCGAGGTGCAAGACGAGTTTGCTTGAACAGACAAAGCTCTCTTTGCAGTTTTGTGCAGAGTAGATCTTAGAATTACATGGGACCCGCTCATTGTGGTGATGTTCCCACTGGCTGCTGCAATCTGAATTGAAGGCGGCAGGGTGACCCCGGTGCACCGAAGGGTGCCTGGGTCTCAGGCGTCTGGTCTGATCGGTGTTAGGCTCTATGATCACAGAGAAGGGAGGCCATCGAAAAAATGCTAGAGGTGGCAGCTGGCATGTTAGCTGTCCCAAGAGTCAACATAGTATCTGGCACGTTTGTAGAGACATCATCAGAGACTTCTGAGCGTTTTTCTTCAGCACTTCATTAGACATAATACCAGCCGCAAGACTGATGATATGCAGACCTTCGAGCGCCTGGGAGAAGTTGAAGTGGCTTTTTTCTGTGGGAAGTCTGGCCGAAGTCTGTAAAAGATCTGGTGAAAAGGTATTTCACCACCATCTCTTGTGGGAAAATTTGAACAGTGCCCTTGAAAAAGTGGCCAGCATCTGGTAGGAAGAGCATTCTGAGTATCCTCGCCTCTTTTCTAAGATTTTTGCTGAGCTGCGGCGATCACAAGGTTTTCAATGGCCTGCAGCCTAGGCCGGAGTAAGTAATAGATTATCCTAATACTATCCGAATATTATCCACTATTGTAGTAGTTGCCATTTTATTTTCCATTATCCCAATATTATCCCATTATATCCCCTATAATCCTTACACAAACCCTGTATAATCCCTATGATCCCTTTAGTTTCCATTTGATTTTCCATTATGCCAATATTATCCCATTATATCCCTTATATTCCATTATAATCCCTATATAAACCCAACGTAAACCCTACAACCCCTTTAGTTTCCATTTGATTTTCCAGTATCCCAATATTATTAGCTGCTCCTGGCATTGGAGCCCAGGCCGCACCACTTTTTTCGACGCCCCTCTGGGAGTCTAAGAGAGCCGCCGACTCGTTTGAATCCCCCTTGAATGTATTTTGGAATAATGGAAAATAAAATGGAAACGATTATGTTATAATAGGGTTATTTAGTCCCCAATAAATAGATAGAATATGGGGTATATGGCTCTTTTGTCATGAGACTTCAAGTTGGAGGGAGCAAGTTGAAGGAAAACATTGCCTTCAGCCAGGTGTGGAAGTGTCCCCACCGAACAGACCAAAGGAGCAGTCTGGGCAGAAAGTATCTTGGTGGAAGATTGCAGCCATGATTGCATGTAGTAGGCCGCAACACGCCGCAGCTAAGGGGCATGTGGTAGATCCAAGCACAGCAACACATCCTAGACTCCACGTTTCTTCTGCCAAGCATGACTCGTCTGAAAACAAAGGAATCGCCGCATGCAGCAAGTCCTCCACTGCTTTGTGCTCAGACTGTCACATCGAGGTCAGGCACCGCGACAGCAGAATTCTTAGGGAAGCGAAGGTGAGCTGGGCTGTACACAACATGGTCCACCCCCCTTCCCTGGTCATGATTCATTCTTGCCCAAGCAACCAATCTGCCAGCTGATTCAGGGCAGCGCCAGCTGAAGCTGCACACAGCCAGGAGGCCTGTACGGATTCCTTTGTGGGATTCCTCACCAGTCGACAGAGTGTGTTCTTGGTGAAGCAGCATCTGCGATGTCTTTGCAGACTTCTTTGTGTTTGCAGAATTGCTTTGCAATGTCGGATGCAGAGGGAGGCTTTTGCAAAAAAACATCGTAAGAGCACCCAGAGCTCTGAAACTACTGCTGTGTCACCATATCGACTGTAAGCATGATGTAGTATAGTACTGTATAGCCTTGTGACTCAAGATTGATGGTTCAGCTTTTTGCGATAGTTGCAACACTCATCAAGGCTGGGTAATTTTGGTTTTGCACTCACAGGGCAATTTCGGCCAGATTTGACTTCCGGTATTTTGAAGCCTTGCTGTGCCTGATATATTCCTGGGGGTCCTGGCAAGGAGAAACTAACTGCTATGCGTAGGGCAGGTGTCCTGCTGTTGCTAAGGTGCGCTTTTGTCATCGTTTCCTGAGCTGCAAAAGTTTGAACCTTGCTTTGACGAAGGCATTTCGACAATTTTCCCCAATGCACCTCAGAACTGTTCCCTTTTGAGTGTTGGGGTCCGGGGTTGCAGAATGTGACCAACATCGTTGATCACAAGAGTCCACAAAGTGTTCGCGAAGCGTCCGCAAAGCATCCACAAGTGTCGCGCCCGGGCTGCAGGTCTAGAAACCCCCCGAAGGTCGCCATCCTCGCAAAACTCACCACTTTGAATGTTCTCGTCGCGTGTCAGAAGTGTCAACAGTCACGCGGATGGGGCCCGAGGGGTTGCCGTCCTCGTGACTGCCGTCGCTGTTGGACTCTCGTGTCGGAGGTAAGGAGAAGAATGGAGGGTCAATGGAGTGGAGAGTAGCGCGTGGAGAGTGGACTGAGTAGATACTGAAGAATGGAGAGTGGCGAGAAGAGAGTGGACAGTGGAGTTTCTTAGTCGTGTGCCCTGCGCATCATGTCGTGTGTGACCCGTTTAATCCATGCGAAGGACGTGTCGCGTGCCTGCTTCGGTTTCGTGGACTCATCAATTTTCCAGACCGGCCTTGGGGCGCTGCGATTCTCACTGAGTGAAGGACAACCTACAAAATGAGGAAGTCTATGCGACACAAGCGTGACAAATGCAGCTGCAGAACCCGCGGTCCCACAAGACTGAGAACATAGAAGTTCGTTTGGAGGCGGTTGTTGGTGCAGATTCATTGGTTTGGTGCGCGTTTTGGTGGTCCTTTTACAAAAGACTTGCTACCCGCAGGCTTCGCTCGCTGTTCCAGCCAATCCGTTCGACCTGTCCCCGGCACCTCGGACAAGCACAGGAGCTTTCACCGAATTGAGCAGCGATGTGAGACGCTGCATTGAGCAGGAGGTCATAGCCCTTTTGTGTGAGTTAGTACGACCAACAAAGAACTGATCAGAGTGTACATGCCACGTATCCCAAGCAAGTCCAGGCTGAGTTGAAGCGCGCCACCACGCCACCAGCGAACACCTCGTGCTTGCCTTGGAATGGGACCTTTGTGAAACAGGAGTGACATGCTCAGCTGTGAAACACGGCGCGCTGCAATAAGAATGTATGATTCTGTGATTGCTGTTTTAAAGGAGTACCTGCTTGCATGATCGCAAGGAATGCTGTTCAGCGAGGAGCTACTCCAGATTTAGAAGCCAACGACATGGACAACTGCTTCATAACTGAACGCTTCGGCTGCCTGAGGCATCGTGCAAACGCCCCACTGACCTCCCAAAGGCAAGGGTGCAACAGGGTAGTGATGCTGAAAGCTGGGTAGCCCTCGAGCTGAAGCAAGTCAAGTCCAAAGCCTGGGAGTCGTATATTCTGACCTCATCCAGGTTTCCATGCTCCAAGCCCATGTGTCATAGTCCATCCGTTAGAGCAGGCCTTTCTGGCCTCAGCCGGCGACACCCATGGCGGCAGGCTAGACCCTCGCTCCTCAACAGTGGTTTGTTTGATTTGCACCTGCTGAGGCAACCTCCCCTCTTGAAAAAGAGTGCGGTAAACTTGCGGAGTATGCTATGGCGTTTGCACGAACAGGGGCTACAGCCTTAATACGCTAGGTTGCTATACTGAAAAGCTCATTACGCCTCGCAAGGCCAAGGCTGTCAAGCCATGTTCCTTGTTGCATCGTACCAGTCGCTAGTCACTCCGAGCAACAGCTATAAAAGCCACGGCCCCGATCTGAAGTTGATACTCAAGCCTAAATTGTACCTTGAGCGAGAAGTTCGTGCACAAAAGGCAACCTGTTGCTGAAGGCCGTCGGTCGCCACCCCCAAGGGGCCGCAGCCCTGTGGATGAGGCACCTGGTCTGCTCTGGAAAGGTCACGCAGTGTCACATAAATGAAATACCAATAGCTACCCAAATAAAGAACAGTCATTTTCGGCGACCCCGAGTGCTATCTTATCATCTCACAGGTGGCATCTGCATGAAGGCCTAGACATCCTGCGCCAATAGATACACAGCATTCATTGACCGAGCCTGAGTAGTAGCATGCTCCGAGCAGCCACATTTACGTCAAGACTTAGCATTTAAGATTGCCAGTCAGACTGCAGCGCAGCCTATCGCACTAGGCTCAATGCGTTTCATGATGACCTGGAAGTGCAGACTCAGCAGAGCACACAGCGCTGCAGCCAAAACTTGCTCCTGCAAATCCATGCTGCACGGCTAGCACCACAGCAGACTGTTTGGCAGCCCACTCGAAGTCTGATGGGGCCTCCATTTGCCACGATGCGCGGCTAAGCGTATGCGCCCACGTGGAAGGACAGGGAGTAGAACACCGGCAGTCACTAGCATTTGTCCAGACCCCCAACTTCAGGCAGCTGCACGTCCAGGAATCAGGAGGTTGACAAACAAGGCAAGATTCGCAGACGCGGGCGTGGAAGGATTTGTCCTCTTTTTTTTGCAATGTGGCAAAACTCTTTAGTTTTTGCACGCCGACGTGTTTTTGGAGGTCCTAAACCACACGCACGCACGCTTTGACGCTTTGATTTTGTAGGCCAACGTCCATGTATGTCTATGTGCAATTTCGTGCGTTTGGACGATTTTGTGGCTGCATTGTTCCGCGTTTTTCTCATTGTTTCTTGTGCGTTTGGAATGGGTCGTGTACGAGTGCAAACCATGCGGGAAAAAATCGAGGGGTCTAATTACTCAGGGCATGCAGCGGGCATCCGTCTAGTCCAAAACTCCGTGTGGAAGTTGGTATGTATAAAAATGAATAGAACGACCACGGGCTGGCTTAGAAGGCTTTCCGCGAAAGTTCGCGATGGTGTTCGCGAAAGGAATCTGGCATTTCGCGAACTCGGCGACTCGGGGATTTCGCGAATGAGGTATCGCAATTGCATTTCCTTGCCACAGTATTCTGATTAAGGTATCCCCCCATGAGCAGCACTTGTGAAACATGTGTTCAGTCTCGGGATTCTTGCCCCAAAAACTTGCAAAAGATACACCGAAGATTTGCAAAAGTTCACGTAAGCCGAGCACGCCCCCAGCCTTGAAAGCCACGGGAGACGATATACATTCTGCGTTTGATGATTGGTTTCTGCTTTGAATATATTTCCGCAAAAGTGTTCGAAGAGGTCATTCTGGGATGAAAGAATTTAGATAACAAAGTTGCATTCTTTGCCTTTAGGGAGTTCGGTCCACTATGTTTACGGAACCATGCCCATAGTCTTGCAAAGTACCCCTCAAAGCAGAACCCCTGAAACCCCCCCTGAAACCCGAGCCCCTCCACTTCCCGTAAAAGCCCCTGAAAGGCACCAGAAGAAGGACAAGCACTTTTCATATTAAAAGTATGTTGCATGGCGTCTTTGTATTGTAATACCAGATTGTATTTTCAAGGTATAAGCCACTTTGGGTCATGCAGGAGTTTTAGTATCCACCGTATTGCTAAGCACGTGCTGCTGAGGGTTCCATCCTAAAACCTGCACCCCGAATACCTCCGACAAAACCTGGGTGAGAAATGGCATCAGTACAAAGAGAAGTAGGTCTCCAGCTTGCCATTGCTGTTGATGCTATCAAACAATGTACATTCTTACCCCCGCCACACTCCCAGGCTACCCCGCCCCAAAACACCCCACTTCCAAAGTAGCAACCCGTCCACGCTGTCAGGAGTCCTGCCCGGGTCGAGGAAACATTCGAGCAGGTGCGACGCCATGCCACGCCTATCTGGTCTCATCCTGGTGTGTCTCCTTCACCCTCAGCAGGCTGTGAGCAACGAGCAGGAGAAAGACAAGTATGGTCATGGTCGTACGACGGCTGCAGCTTCCGTAGGCACCTTTGAGAGCAAGCTAATCCACGACATGCTGCATGCTGCCATGTGAGGTTGGGAACCAAAACCAGCGACGAACTAAGCCACATGATGCGAAAACGGTTGAACATGCTAGCACGATGCTCTCTTTTGCTAGATTTTTTCTTTCTCACTGGCCTGGGTTGGTCATATTCCTTTCACTGATTTGAGTGCTCGCTTGCACCCTGACTCTTAATGTACCTCATTTGTTCCAACATGCTTATGGTTTTGCTGTTACTGCAGGTGTGGGGCTCCTGGCATTGCTGGGCCTGAGTCTTTGGGCTGTAGCCGCAACGAGACTACACAGCCATCTGCAGGCAACAGATTGATTGCCACTATGTCTGGGGTTTGCTGTGCCGCATCTTTGCGTTGTCAATCAACTAAGCCCACTAAGCTAACCAATCACGAGTTGAAAGCTCTTTTGTGCAAGCAGTGGATCCCAATTCTGTTGAAACCCACCTTACGAACTCTCCCACGCAGGGAGGCGGTCAAGAAGGTCAAGGCGCGAAGTTTGAACGACTCTGTGGGGTATTGCCTCCAAAACTTGTCGGGCAAGCTTCTGTGACACACAGGCAATGTGCAACAAAACCTGAGCATAAGCCTTCACAGAGTTGCGCAGAGTTGTGACATGGCTTGGTTCCCCGGAACGCGATATAAGCCGCAAGCTTTGGAGGCTAGGTGCAGTCTTCCAGGTCTCTTCTGTCGCATGTGCTCAGACAGCCCAAAGTGCTGACGAGTGTCCATTTGCAACTTTGTCGAAAAGCAGGGAGCACCAAGCGATTGGAGAATCGAGCTCAGAGTGACCCTGTTTAGGGACAGACGGGGCATAGTGCTTCAAGTGCGGAGCGAACTTCAACTCGTGACCATGCCCAGATGCGCGTCCAAACCCACACAAATCCATAGTACTGCGCAGGCTACCTCTTCAAATCTGAATGGCCGCTGCAGAAGGCACAGCCGGGCCGAGCGAAAGGTTCAAAGCCTGGTAAGTTGTGTTGCAGGCCGGTCCTTCAATGCATGGCCGTGAGCAGAACACAAGCGAGTAATGTTTGGGAGAAAAGAAAGGCTTCACTAGTCAAACTCAGTAATGACACCAGTTCAACTTCCATCAATGCTTGAGGGATAGCGGAGCAAAGGAAACCCAATCTCAAGTCATGGGGCCAGCATGACGTGGAATTGTGAGGATGGCCTCAGGGAGCGTCTCTTCCGGCGACAGGCGAGAGGAGGCTGGCTGCGTGGGCTGGTCTTCAAGCATGGCCTACAGGGACACTGCTCGCATTCGCTATGCTTAGCTGCCGGATCGTGGCTGAACCAAGACATAGTCAAGGTGTCCGAGAGATTCCACGACCATTCCCAGAAGTTTCTGGCAGAAGTGCTATGAAGGGCTCACATGCTCTCTAGCGCCATTTGGCCCTTGAACGTGTGTTTGTCATGGGCGTCATGTCTTTTGCTCAACAGGACCCGCGATGCCAGACGTCTCGAGAGATCACATGCGAGGTCTGTGCTGAGTAGTTGTGATGGCGGGATATGCAGGGGTCCTTCATGTGAAGCTTTGCACATTGTCAAAGGGGAGCTTAGCCTCGGCAAGGCCAGACTCAACCAGTGCCTCCCGCTTGTAGACCATCGCCTCAATTCTGCAGCTGCAGGTTGGCCAGTGCGGGCACCGGAGCCCCCGGTACCTCCGTCACTGCCCCTCTTGCAGCGAACGGCGCACTCCCAAACTGTGCGCTTCAAATTGGTGCCGCGACCGCAGCGTTTGGAGGCAATCTTGCTGATGAGTATGTTGCGATAAACTCATGAAGGCCTTCACCCCTGATAGGTCTTACATTCTGAAGCTCAGCGGGGCCCGCTGAAGAGTGCGAACTTGTCCCTGCAACTGGGATGCGCTTTGGGATGTATGGGCCAGCTGCAACAGATCCAGAGACTTTGGATTTCACACGCCCTTGCTGTGGTCTGTCCATCAACTGCAGCGCTCGCACTGCAACCCGAAGGTGGTGGGCAACCAAGCAGCACGTTCTACCAGCGGCAGGAAGCGATGAAAGGCCGAGCTCACAATTGACTTTAAGGCTCTGACCATATTTGCCCCCGACCTCTGATGCTCCAGGATGGCTTTGGATGCCTTCCAAGCCACACTTGGAATCTCCCCTGCGCCGCTGGGCACTACACCGGCACCCCTAGGCTCAGTGGCGGTGCCTGGGCCTAAAGAAATTGACAGACAGTAGGTGCAAGAAAACCAATTAGCTTTCTTGTCTTGAGCTTGCGGCACTCCAGCTCTAACGCGTTGGAGATTGGGGATTAGGCTCCTGCAGGGGTCCTGTGTGACCACACCTCACAAAGTACGGAGACACTATGTTTGGATGAAGGACGGAGAAGCACTGTCGTACATGCTACGTCGACGGTGACGTGCAATCTGCTTGTTCATGGGCAGACGAATCCTTGAAATCTCAGGCTTCTTAACGCCAATGGAACTGTTCATTTGCTCTTCGAAGCAAACTGCACTATGACATCGTTCGAGATTTCGGCTAGGAATGGTTGAGCTTTAAGGCTTGATGTTGATCAGGTCTCCATTCAGAGTGGTCTGCGCCTGGCCCGTGAATCCTGCGCGGAGCTGGTTGGCTACACGCTCTCGCCACTCAAGCTCAATTTGTCACACTGCTCTCACGGGGGTCAGCGGGTTTGCTCTGGGCTGGGCAGTATGCAGCGTTATGTGGTGAGGCAGTTCCTTCACTCAGAAACCCCAAATCCGGCAGACAAAGAGTGTGCTTTAGCTCTTGAGTTTTGCGTCTGCAAGGAATTATATTGGTCTTGATACGCGAGAGGACCCGGCCCACACGTTGACATGAGTAGGGACGTGTTAAATTTGGGTTTGCTTACAGAAACATCTACCGAGAGCCAAAGAAGCAGAGACCTGAGATGCCGCAGGGCTTGCCTTGCAAGGCTCAGTCCAACATGTTCTGTCTCATTTTTGGAGGAGTGAAGCCTTTATCAGCGTGTTTGTAGGGGTAAATGGGACTTGCTGCGATGCCGTCTAATTTCTGCTTGACGTATGCGGCAGGTGTAGTGAGGATCAAGCAGCGCGATGCCTGTTGCCAATGTCAGGGCATATTGCCTTGTCAAGTGGAGACTGAGGAGGTGTTTTCATACATCCATAGACCTAAAACTGCGTGAAGTAAAGCATGGCAGCTGCACCGCAGAAATGGCCATGCCCATCGCTCTCCATGGCAGTGCCTGACACCGACTTGGACACTTGGACAGCTGCAAGTACTGCGCATGCCACAAGGCGCTAACCTTCACGCCCGCACTTGCCTCCGCTTCGGCAATGAAGGCGGAAAGAAATCTCGTGAACGCCGACAAGAGAGCCCATGGTAGGCAACAGCAATCTCCACTGCCGGCAACGGTTTCGGCGACACCCAAAAAACAGAAGGACCAAGCAAACACGCACTGGCCAGTCCTGCTCGAATTCTAGCACGAGTTCGGAAAGTTACATTGGGGAGACGAAAAGTGTCACGAGGGTCGCTAAGACTAAGAGTGCGTAGACGAGTCAGTTTTGGTGTTGCGCACGCTACGCCACGCGCAGAGTTCTGTGACGTGTGCTGTGCGTGTATGGGGTGGGTGTTGGACAGCAGCAGAGTAGACCACAAAAGATAAACCGTCTCCCACCCGGTGAAAATGGCATCGAGAGCATATGACTGACTCGCAGGCATTATCCTGTGCTTGCAACCTGCTGTTGAGTTGTTGGCTTAGGCTATGGCTGGCGTTACTAGTTATAAACCTCGAAGGAAGTAGACTTGAACTTGACGTGGGTTTGGAGTTTTTTGTTCGCAACAGCATCTCAAGGGCTCAAGGGGTGTTTGCAGCACGTTTCTCCTCTGAGAGTATAACTAGACAAGATGCACAATCCAGGACTGTCACACAGCTGAATGGCACTTCGTAATGCGATGGCGAGGGCGCACCGCGGTTTGCGCCACAAGGCCTCCAGGACAATGAAATCTGTATGTGTTGAGTGTTGATGGCTTCGGCCCTGCACCAGCTGACGCATTCAAGATATTGATTGTGAAGTGTTGCCGTGAGCGGGGCAGAGATGAAAGTCCTTCACCAGTGTCACATGCTGCACTTACTTCACTAGCGGTACATACGTAGTCGCCTGACCTTGCAAGCTTTCAGTGGCATTCGAGAGCATTTCTGTATTTGCCCCAGCAAGCATGGTTAGCCAATCCAAAGTCCCAAAGCCAAAGTCTTCAGGAACCAGAGCCATAAATAGCACTGGACACCCCAATTGCATTGATCAATGAGGCCGGAAGGCGCCTTCCGGTTTGGATTCAGCACTTTGAAGCAGATGATGCGTTCTGAAGGCAACACCGGGGCAATCCATGTGACAGCGGTGCCAATCAGCGCAGGGTTCTTAGCAATTTCAAGGGAAGGACCCTGAATCAAAAAGGCACACTCCGTGTTGGCACTGCCTCCTTTTCAAAGTGGGCTGGAAGTCTTTGTGCACTGTGTTGCGGGGATCTGCGGGATAGCCGGAGCGTGAATGTCTTCTATTCACGGCGTAAAACCCTGGAGGAGCAAAGTTCTCCACTGATGCGACTTCAAGCGATTTTCTCCTGGAGGATGCGGTCTGTGGTGTTTTCACAGGTCACTTCACTAAGCTGCCATGTGAGCCAATAGGAGCTGGATTGAGACTGGATGGCTGCAGGATTGGCCGCACCATTGCTGGCGAGGCTTGCACCTCGACACGGTGCGGCACTGGATGCCCGTGCCTTTTGTAAAGCCGCTTATCTGCCACAGCATCAGCAACCCCAATTGCAAGTCAAGGGTGTACGCATCAGCTTGCAAGAACGCAGAAACTGTAACCTTGCCGAGGCAGTACATCAAGGCAATGGCAGCCTACAAGGCCCAGTTTGTGACAAGTTGGGTTCAAAGCTGGTGCTCGGCCATGGCTACAGTCCCCGAACGTCTTGCCCAGCTACCAGCAATGAGTTCACGGCCTCGACTGCATTACAACCCCTGCTTTAACACGCGTGCAGAAGCAGGCGAATTTTTTCCACTGGCATCTCACAGATGACCAGGCATGGAGACTGCTACTTGGCTTAATGTATTGATTAGTGAACTCTCTGCTTTTGACGGCAAGCCTTGAAGGTCCAAAAGCAGACGTGCGCAATAGGTTTTTGTTGCAGAGGTCTCATGTCGGTTGTGCCTAGACCGAGGTATCTGCCGAGCCGACCAAAGCTCGTCGAAGCTCAGCGGATGCAGCCCGGAACAATTGTAAAGAGCAACTGCAACAATCATAGGATGCCACGCCATATCCCGTTGTGAGGGTCAAGCAGCGACATTCAAGCAAGCACATGGGAGCTAACGAATCTTGTTGGTGTTTGGACACACTGGCTTAGGACGTCTCCAGAGTTTTACAGCCAGGATGATGTGAAGGAGGCCACTACCTGGCACAATCCATGAAACCAACCTTGTTTTGAAAGAAGCTTCAGCCAACGGCTCCGCCGTCCTCCTGGTGCAAGAAGCTGATATTTTCCCAGCTTCAAGGTAGCCCCGTAGTTGGAATATGGGATGGGGCGGTTAGCCGAAACTTGCAGAATGTGTTTTGTGATATTTGTGGCTGGCATGTTTCAGCACAGACGCCTCGAAATATGGAAGCTCAAGAGCAGCATTGAGGCCACTGGCAACCCCAACCCGTTTGTTGGTGTTTGGTGAGTGCTTGCAAGTTTCTCCGACCGTTTGACGAAACGGTCAACAGATTGGAGACGAACCGAGGAACGACTGTTTACATTCGGCTTCTTTCTGTCCCCTCAGTCCGTTTCAGGGATTCACAGAAGCCGACCAGTATTGAACATCTTCTGGCGGGGGCGATCTCGCCCAGCCGCTTGGCGTCATCCCCACACGCAAAGCAAAACAAGGCAGAGCTAAGAAAAGCAAAAGAGCTTGGCCCGCCACCGCCCGAGTAAACAAAAGAGACTAAGTGGAGAGCGGGGAGCACAGCCAGACCCACGGTTTGTGGAATACAGCAGACAGAGATCTTTTCCAACGTATTTCGCAGAATTCAGGACCGTGATTGCAGCCACAACAACGGCGATCAAAATGTGTGTTCAGATCTGGGCCTCAGTAGGGCTCGTTTGGTATTGAGGTTCTTTGCAAAGATTGTCAGTGCAATGAGAAAAGAAAGCCTCAGCAGGAAGGAAGTCTGAAGGAAGCGCACGGAGTGCAGTTCTCGTTTGCCATGGGATACAGTGCATGAAGACCGAGCAGGTGCTGGAGTTTGCCAAGCGCCATTTCGTCACGGTTGTTCCTGGCATCGAAATGCCGGGACACGTGATCGCGGCGCTCTCGATCTATCCTGAGCCAGGGGCTCAGCTTCCAACTCGATTCCGTTTCCAACAGCGTGGATGCATCATGAACCTGCACAACCCATGCGGTGATAAAATCTTACTTCGCATTAGCCATAATGCTTCGCATTAGCCATGAGCTTAGCATGCGCAGTGCCAAGCCAAAACGATTTTGTCCACCAAGAAATTTAGGGCTCACTGAGAGATTCTCGACGAATGAGCAGCTTCATGCCTGCCCGATGGATGTCAGCTGGGGCATAGACCCAGGAAACAACGACGTGCCAGCAAGGCTTAGCAGTTGGAAGCTTGTGCATGGGCCGGAGCTAAGCGCACATCGGCTGCGTGTACATAAAGGGAGTCGACGGACGTCGTTGGCCGGCTGCGTTTTCAAGAGGAGCTTCGCAGCGGCGCCAGATCACGCATCAACGTTAGCCGTCGGCGGCACCTGAGGCTTACTGGCGCTGGACAAACGCGAAGAGCTCCCGGATTGCTCTACAAGTCTGTCTGACTGCCTGCTAGACCTGTGGTCCGATGCGGAGACCGTGCTATTCTTGAAGGCTCACCCGAAACTGTGACAGAAACTTTGTAGATCAGAGCCTCCACCTAAGCAACCTCAACACAGCTTGCCTCAGATCAGCGTTGCCATGCTCTCGTCTGTCAACCTGTTGCATAAGGCTCGCCTGCAGCGAAGGCCCTTTCAAGGTGCCAGCAACGCGGCAGGGCATCTACAAGGACTGGAGCTCGTATGATGAACATCAGTTTCTTGGATATTTGCATGTGCCATGTCTGCGTAGTATGCTTAGCCGGCTTTAAACTGAGTAGCTTTGAAAAAGACCTACCATCATGAAGCCTGCATAAGTTGTTGATAGTGTTGGGGAAGTTAGGTTGGCAGAGTAGTGTTGAACGGATGCAATCAGCAGGATGGTGAAAGGCACATGAGACCGCGTTGCTGCTGCGCCCCAAATGTCGCGTGAACTCTCGAATGTACCGCCAAGTGCTAGCTTTCATTTATCCAGGAAGTCCTCTGCGTTGGCAAGGCCGGGACTAAGTCGATCGGTGGTGGAGATGCAAGGTATTGCAATCAGTGGGTAGAGGCTACAACAGCTTCTACAGTCTCGGCAAATGCTGAATCTAGTTGGAACCCTTGGCTTAATGTGTAATGTGTACATCCAAGCGGGCATGCTGTTGTTGGCTCCCATGGCATCAAATCCGCAATCTCCACGGGACAATGTTGCTAGATCAGGCGTCCACCTTTGAGTTCGCCCTGGACGTTTTCACAGACGTTGCAGCCATGTTTCCTAGCAGGCCACCAACGCCTTGCATGCCTGAGTCTATGTGTGCGTGCGGTAGGTTCACTGCAGTGAACAACTTTCAAACTGTACAGTCACCATTCCCATCCTATGGCCTTGCATCTCCAAGAGCCTGTTCGAGATCGGAGTGCAAAGCATGCTCAAGTCGGCTCGTGTTTCTTACTTCCTGCTTGAATGGACAGGTATATCCATGTTGGCGGCGACGAGTCTGAGTTCGACTCGTGGCAAGAAAGCGAGCATGTCAGGTCTGGCAACCGGGCTTGCAATTTGTTCATGTGAGGGTTGTGTCTATGGCCATCGATTGCCAGTTGTGGCTTCATATGTCTGCCTTGCAAGCCTGCAAGCTGGACAATTTGGGTGAGTGGGCACTTCGGTTTCTTTAGTTTTTTGTGACCGCCGCCGCACGATGGCGCATTCGCAAAACCTTCGAGGAAATGATAGGGATTGGTTGTTTCGGTTCCGGGCCGGTTGGAAGAGGGTATAGGGCTTGTATGATAGACTCTTTTGCCTTTCACCTCCCCGCTGCCAGGGTTTTTCTCCCGCAGGGTTTTTCCCTGGCTTGTATAGATGCGGGTTTCGTTCGAATTTTTCGCAGACCTCAGGAACTACGACGCTTCTGAATTTGCATCCTATGTGAAGCCTGATAGGTACTGCCTGAGGCTCAAAGCCTTTGGTTTGAAAGCTTTCCTGGTCTAAAGGAAATGATATATTTGTGGTGCATAGAGTCCTGGTTCAAACCCACCCCCCGCACAAAAAGCTCTGGATATAGATTCCGGCAATGAGGTTGGCACTGTAATCAGCGCCCAGTCCAGCCCTATCCTTTTCCCAAGTACATTGCAGCGTTCATTCAAATATTTCTTCAGTGGAATCGATAGTAGTCAAATTTGCAATTACTTATACAGGAGTATCCCGGTGTCCAAACATATAGCGCAGGAGTAATCACTCAGCAGACGAGGGCATTATGGAAGGATTGGAACATTGTTCATGGTGTCGTTGGGTTTTTGAACAATACAGAGGCCTCACACTCTGTCTGAGAAAGTTTAGGGCGTGTCACAACTGACGTGGCCCGAGACTGGCGAGCCACTTCGCCGGCTTTGTGCGATCAATCCCTACACAAGAACGGGACAATAAAAGCACCAGAACAAATCCGAACCACAAAGCCGAATCGGCCAGGGCATTTGCCGGCCTCGCAGGGCTTCGCAATCTTGGACCTGACATCTTGGAGGCTTCCACGAGAGCGCTTTCCTTTGCAAGATCTGGAATAAAGAAACTGTTCATTTTTTTCTGCTCACGGTGATCGTTTCACAGTAGGCCGGGCTTGTCATACTTTTGCTTGGGAGCACCATAGAGCCAAAGATGGGTTTAGCACGAGATTCTGGTTATTGGCCTGCAATGACTCGAACCAAAGGTAGAAAGCCAAGTACTTCGCAAGAGATAATAATATAGGGTTATATAGGGTTATAGAGGATTCATATTGGGATAATGGAAAAGAAAATGGAAACTACTATAGTATATTAGGGTTAATATCCGCGAAAACAAGCTCCTGGCGAGGCATGGTTCTGTGCTGTCGGGAGGATTCTCAAGGACCGTCCGTGGGGTCGGGCTCAGTTGGTCAAGCCGACGAGTTTCGGGGTCTGACAGGAAAAGAAGGGTTTGATTAGCTTGCTGGCTTCTCTGACTAATCATGCCGACTTTTGGCATTCTATCAACATGCCTGTAAAAGGGCAAGGCTTTCCGCCCCATACTCTACGTACAGGAATCGGGAAGGCAGCCTGCAGACATTGAATGCTGTCTTTGTTTGACCTGCACCGCCATCTACAGTTGGGCAGGTATGGCACAGAGAGTTGCGTGGGAAAAGGAGCGCCGGTTTGTCCACAGGAGCTCGGCAAGCAGCCCATCATGCGCCATGCTGCAAGCAATACTCACCGGCTTGAGATCTGCAGGCTGCATACCATTTTCGTCTCTAGCTGGAACGCGTGCTCAGCAACTGAATCCTCCGGATCTCACTCGATTCCACACTTCAAACCAATAGTTTCAACCTTCCGCTATCATGTCGTACACTGAAGACCAACTCCAAATTGAGCGGGCGAACAGCGCAGCCCAGGTGGGACGACCACTTCGAGTCAAGGGCGTGGTGCACAAAGCTTTGCCCTCACGCTGAGGAGGCGTGAAGGGCCCAGCATGATCGGCAACAATCCTGAACCCCTGTTTCTATTATTCCTATTATTACTTTTATTGTATTATTGCTATTCTTATTGGGATTCTTACTATTAGTGTTATTCTTACTAAAATTCTTAGGATTGCTCTCATTTGTCTTATCCTAGCCCTGCCTGCAAAGGAGTGGATAGTCCAAAGCTGGAAGCTGCAGCCACCTGTCGGGGATGGAGCAACCGCTTGGCTCTCAGGGTAGCTGCACAAACATCCACGGCAGAGACAAAAACAAAAGTGTAAAACCATCAGCAACTTGGACTTAGGTCTGCTAGATATTGGGCTGGGCTGGGGTTCCGGCAGCAGATTTAGGGCAGAATCCTGCTTGAACAGCGTCCAAGGTGTGCATGCAGCTTGCAATTGTGCTTTGCTCACAGCACCTAGGCCATCGATCCTTCCTTCCCATTTCGGACTATCTCGTCGCCCGTCAAAGCTGCGAATCTTGGCAAACTAAACAACCAGGAAAGGCTGTTCCAAAATCATTTGCATTGGTAGGGCTTCAAGAAGGTCCAGAGGCATCACAACCACAGACCCAGGACTCCCAAACATTCCCAAACAACCCGGCCATGCCCAGAGGCAGCAGCAAAGTCGAGGTACCTGGACTACCCGCTCGCGTCTACGGATTTTAATCGGACATTGGATCTACTGCCATCTTCCGGCCCACTGATCTTGGGACTGGGTCCCAGTTCTGCCTTTTTTCTTTCAGTGCATATTGGTGGAAAGGTAAAGAAGCCGTTGCCTATCCTCGAAGGAGGATGCGCTACCATGTGGACTGAAGACAGCGAGAGCGCAGCAGTCCCAGGAAAGGCAGGGGATTGCCTCACAGTCTGGCTTCGTACATGCTTTCTGAACAGCCACGTCGCAATTTGCTGTCTGCAAGATGTGGCTAGCGGCTGTTGGTAGTGGTCTCTTGAATCTCGATGCATCCTGCAGTTGGTGCTTCAAACTTCTGAGCACTGATCCATGCACCCGCCCTGACGCATGTTCATGATTTACTTCTTCCGCCGGTCTTCAAAAAGTCCTCGTGGGTCCTTTGAATATAGATTGGTCAGGGGATGCCTTCTGGAAGGAAACCTGTTGGATCCCGATGTTGTTACTGCAAGCTCGAGAAGTCGTTTGCTTCTGGTCCAGCCGATCTCCGCTCAGACTTGAGGCTGTCAGAGGTTATTGACATTTCTGTCGCTAGGGTGCAAGGGAAGGCCTGCCACACGTAATAGTACTCTAGCTTGAGCACATAAGCTTGCAGGTGTACCCCCGCTACCTGGGCATCGCAGAGCGTCTTTGGGGAGGCCATCACACATGCCATGAGCTGCCACTACCTTCTTGATGCGTGCTTGGGCGTTGAACAGAAATCGGATCTCGCAGATGACTACATAGTTTCAGCAGCAGTGGTGCTACTCTGCAGGCATCGTCAATGTTCGGGAGGCAAGATCCTTGGATGAAGCGGGATCCTCAGGTTCGCCATGCCATACCAAGGCGCTTAGCTGGCACCAATGATGAAACGCTCAGCAACACCAACGAGTCTGCACCAAAATACCCCCTTCCAAACAAGCTTTATGTTGTCCGTCCTAAGTTCCAAGAAATCCGTACGCCCTTTTTGGGGCAAAAGTCAGGAGTCACCCCAACATCAGAAAACGAAGGCTACAGAAAATCAACATTATCGTCAAATGCGTTCAAACGCAAAACAGACTTTAGTCCGACATGGAATTACCTCCAACGCGCCGCTGTCAATGGAGAACGCATACCTGCCTTCGGCAAGCCCTAGGTTTGCCCGGCATGTCCCTGTTAAACAACAAAACTTCCAACATTGATATACACCAACAAATTTCACCCAACTTGTCCAAGAAAGCACCAGGAAACTCACAAGAGTCCACATGTTTCTTGAAATCGCTCGAACGTCAAAACTCCAAACAAATCATGGCAGTTGGGAAATTCAAAAAAATCCCAGACATCACCATTTGGTGAAGTCATTTGCTGCTTGCAAAGCAGGATCTCTGTGGATGTGGAGTGATTTGGATTCCTTTCGGGTCTTGTTGCTAAGTTTCGTATCTTAGCAGCTTTGCACAGAAGCGTGTATATTGCCCAGATTTCTTGGGCAACTTGAGTAGAATGGCGATGTTGAAACTACTTTGGAATTCTTGAAACTGGGTGAGTTGCAGAAAAAAGTTTGTGATTGTGCTCTCAGAATTACGGTATAGTAAGTATGGCATTGTAAAGGAAGCAGCTTTTCCTGATGTAGGTCATTTTTGGAATTTGAGAGCTTCTCAATCGTGGACATGAACATGTGCGAAAGCATTTTGCACACGCCAAGGGCGACCGACCCAGAACAAACTTGAACTCGAGATTCGTTGCTGGGCGTGTGCCAAGCCTTTGACGAAAGCCCTTCCATGCTTGTTCAGAACACAGCATCCAAAACAGCTTCCACAAAAAATCGATGGCTTTCAGATGCAACGAGTGGGATGTCAGAGTATGTATAGGACACCCGTCGGTTTACTCGGGTTCAGGACCTGTGGACAACTGCCAAAGCACATTGCTCAGATGGGCTTGGGCCTGAGATTTGTTCAAGCGCAAACTGAGCTAAGCATGCAAGCAGTCCATGCAAGCCGGAGATTTGGCCAGGCTCCATGCTGCAAGAATGCTGCAAGGGGTTCTAGTTCGGAGCTTGTTCTGCTGGAATTTGTTTGTGAAAGCAGCTGGCCATATGCGGCCTGAAAGCACCGGCTGATTTTCATGGAGACCACTTCACCGACCCGCCAAGCAATTCAAGTGGACAGCTTCACCGTTCTGCGCAATCAAGGCGTGAATGCGATTGTTTCGGCAGCAATCATGACATATGCCCGGCTTTCGCGAACTGAGGCTTCTCTCCGCAGATTTGGGCTTCACATGCGGACACTTTGCTCCACCGGAAAGCTCCCGGAGCTTGGTGCATCGGAGACAAGTTCATGCTTCCGAGTTCCAGTGTGGAAGAGATTGTCTTTCGGGTCTCATTTCAGACATTACTTGTAGCTAAGTTGAATGTCAGCTTTGATTTCGGCTGATGAACCAACAGTTCGGCACGGCCATCAGCACTGCCACGCCATGCCACGCCCATTCTCTAATGTTGAGTATGTTCCATTAGACTGTATTATTGACGAATAAGAGATCCCATGCGCCTGTCTTTTGATTTCATCGTGCTGCTAGCTAGCGCCTGCGAAACTTCTCGCCATCTATGTGTCAGGGGGTCCTTGAAATAACTGCAAATCACTTGTGCCAACACTCAGGTGTTCAAGAACGCGGTGATCTCATCAAGCTTAGCACCTTGCCAGCACAGAGATGTTGACGCTGGCTTGCTTAACGGGAACTCGGAGTCATGAATCCACCCGATTGCCTTGGCCTTGACTGTCTTGATTGGTCTTGTGGAAGCCCAGGATTCTTTCTCAGCAGCATTTGCTCCAGGCGACTCTGGCTTAACTAGTTTTTTGGAAAGGGTTGCCCTCTGGACCTCATGCTGATGCTGAGACCGGGCCATTGACACCAGTGACGAGAGCTACCTCTGGGCGATCGCACCGAAGGTGCCAAGCTGTGGCAGTAAGAAGCCTCTTCGATTTTGAAAGCCAGTGATAGCCTTGGGCTGCAAATTGAGGCGGGCGACTACTTGGACGTGACCTTCTACTCACAGGCATGTGCCATCATGTCCCAACCTGACATAAAATATGATGGAAGATTCAGAATAATGCAGTACGTCTGTCTTCTTTCTGAGCTGTCGGAGAGCTGCCCAAAATTTCAGCATAGTACCAAGCCTTTTTTGGAACAAACGCATTGCCAGACCAACACCAGCTTGGTCGCCAAATGGCCACTCTGCTGCATTGTGTCATGTCCGAAGATGGGTACTTTCTCTGAAGAGGAGGCAGCTGAACCTGGCAACAAATTAGACACTTGCTCTGCATCTGCGGTTACCGGTTGCCTCTGAGGCTCAGCCACCTCAGCGTAAAGACTGGCTCAAAGGACAGAATACTGCTTTCGGCATGGTTGCCACCTAGGCACTTTCAGTAGACGCTGGTGTCTCTTCCACATGAGGTCATCGATGACAATGCCATGTCTTCGTATATAGTCACGGGTGTTGTGCTTATCTATTGTTCTCAAAAGACTGTACCTGCTGTGTGTCTGACGTCACTGGCTTGCATGCTGAGACTTGTGCTACGGTCTGCATGGCAAGGACCGCCCAGGTGATCAACTCCTTCATGGCCTGGTGAAAGTGCTGCAGTGGTTGCAGGATTCCCTTCTTGCACATCGGGATGTCAGAAACCCGACGGTCCCAAGTTCAGAGGCAATCTCATGTTCTTCCTGGCAAACCATTTCAGGATGATTTAAAAAGAAACTTTGCTGTTCATTGTTTTCTTTTGATGGTAGAGAGGCTCCGGTCTCTGTTAATATGAATCTGTGCGGGGCTTTGCCATAGTCGTGCTCACTCCTGAAGACGGTTGCATTGGGCGTAGGTGGCCATGTATGTGAAACGCAAGACTCGGTACCAGTACTTGTCAAGGAGATGTCTATAAGTCAGTAAGGTCAAGCACATTACGCCATGTTTGTAGAAGCTTGCTGCAAATGCAGAATCGCACATCATGGCCATCAAGCCTTGAAAAGCTCACAAAATCAGATCAAGCCAGGACCCAGCTACTGGAGGTCGCTTGCGCACCTGGATTGCTCTTTGCAGCTTTGAGTCTGGTGTTTGTGAAGCTCCGGAAAGTGAGCCTGGTCTGAGATCTTGGGAAATACGTTTCTGAAGCGTCAGTCATTTTGCCAGTCCAGTTCTTGACACAAGCAAGAGACTTGCCAGAGCTAAGCTTCCACAGTGAGCTTGGCCAGATTGGCGGGATCACGCGCGACACCAAGGAGTTGGCAAATGGCCCCATCTCCTCGATCCGGATTGTGGTAACATCGTCTCAGGAGCTTTGATCTGCATTTGTCATGGCATCGGTGCCACTCAAAAAGCTAGGAAAGCAGGGTTACGACTGTGTAGCTCCATGTCTTATGTTCTTGAAAAGCACAGCACCGCTGACCAAACCATATTGCACAAGCTTCCCGTGCCAAGCCTGGTGTGCAATTTCAAGGAGAAGTGGATGGCGGTTCCAGGCATTGACGACCCTTTACAGCATTTCACAGATCTTTTGGCCCAGGGTGCGAAAAGGTGTGCTACACAAGTGTGAAATGCTTCTCTGGTAAAGTTCCTGCAGAGATGCTTTGAAGCTGTCCAAGCTTTGATAGGTTCTCGCATGTGCTTCTACCCATGAAATGTTCCCTTTTTTTGCAAACATTCCGCTTGTTCCCATCGCAGGGGGCGGGCAGAATTTGGCCTGACCAGTAGCCACGAAGTACAACCGGCATGGGACCTGCTCATGAGGCTACGGAGACCACCGGAACAGACTTGTGGCAACCCAGCACGGAGGAGGTTGGGCCAGTGGCAAAACTAAACCGCGTTCATAGCTTGGCCCCAGCAGTAGTTCTTGCGAGGGGACAAGCACAAGAGGTTTTGAAGTTTGATACCAAGAATTGGAAAGATTGTTGATGGATTTTGCATGGAACAGTTTGCTGCTACCTTTCAGGCGCTTGTGAGTTCAGTGATGAAGCATTGAGTGCTCATGCCACACAGGCGGACTCTTGTCGTGAAACGAGTTTACGCCAGTTACATTGCACCCCAAGCTTGGATCGCAACTTTGAAAGGTGAACCGTGGCTTTGCGGCTGCAACGAAGAAAAGCAAGCTACTCCATCAAGGCAGCATTTTGGACGATTCTTGAATTATCTGCTGTCCAAACCTGGTGGAAGTTTTGCATGATCTGCGCACAGGCCACTGAATTACATGCTCTGGGTTTGAGGGCGATTCTAGTCATGCGATGCTGTGGAGATTTCGGATAGCGCCCATCAATTTACATCAATTTACATATGAGGCCTGACACTCATTAGAAAACTTTGTGTGCTAATATGGGTCGTAACACATGCCTTCACAAATTGCCATTATGATGAGACTAAATCATGTGCACATATCCTAGCTGTATTTGGGCTGTGCCAAAGAAGCATAAAGCATTACAATGACAGGGTCCAATGCAGCCGCTATACTGTGCTAGGGCGGCGGCCAACAGGCACTCTGGACCGGCACCTTGTCTCAAGAAATGAAGCTCCATCGACCACGAAGAGCTTTCAGCAAGCGTAGCGGCAGCTTCACTGCGAGCAGCTACCACGGGATTCCGGGCTGCGGGAGTTGCTATCAGGTTGGTCATGATCATTAGTTCTTTGATGGCATGATTACTCTGCCTTTCACCTAGCTCTGATGTTATGACTTGAGACTCGGGCCAAGGCGTGCGACCACTTCCCCGGCAAACCGGAAGAAGCGCAAGCCACGTGCCTCGCGAGGTGGCAGGATGCATCATGATGATGTCATGTCTGAGCCTGCAGAGACGTGAATCAAGGCCAGCGGAACAATTCCACAAAGCCCTTCAGCGAGGCACGCACCAAGGGAGGGGAAATCCATGAAGAGGTCGAAAAAGTGCTGCTGCTCCCCAGCTCCCAGCTGCCCTGGGCCCAGGTGTTTTTTTGTCCAAAGCCCAAAACACGTTTGGCTGGTACAGTAGGCCGATACGCGAAAGCGGCTCCACCACCACCACACCTCGTAATTTCAAGCCCCTTCATATGTTTCCAGGATTTCATGCAGGAACAAACAAGCAGCAATGTTGCAACAACAAGGACGCGCTCGCATCGGAAGCACACGCAAGCACGATGACTGAGTCATAGCCAGAGGTTCTGAAGCACACAAGCGGAGGAAGAGGCAGCAATAGTGAAAGACAGCAACGGAACGCTCCGAAAAGAAAAAAGTCCTAAGCGAGGAAGACATCAACAAAGGAAAGACGAAGCAGAGCCAAAGACAGGGGCACCCTCAAAACCCGGAGCTAGAATGAGAGGGGACCCACACCGTTTTTGTGAAAGGACACGAAGGCATGAGACAACAACTACCAACTGATAAATGAAAAGCATTCAACACAGCAGTCTGATTGCGTGCCAGCGTCAAGAGTCTCACACAGAGGAACATTGCCAAAGGTCTTCGTAGGAAAGGGCGCCTGTGATTGGTCAGCGAGTCAATCACTTGCAATGTGGTGGATTTCTTGCATGGTCCTCGTGCCTTGTAGCCTCTTTGTTCTGCCCAGCGGCTTGCAGTCAGAGGGCTTCTTAGCAGCCATGGTTGACACAGGATGTTGGCACAACCGATTGGAACACCGAAGTAAACTTTGAAAGCGTGCTGTGGAGATAGCAGCTCATCAAACATGCTTGCCTGCGGTTTTTCAGTCAGAAGCTTGGGTGTTGGTGCGCCTAGCGCGAATTTTAGTTCTTGTGTCAGTCGTCCGAGATGAAGCACAAAGCAAGCTTGCTAGAGGGTATCTAGAAGCTCCTGTTCCCGTAGCGTGAGTGTGGATGCTTTGCAATGGGTGCTTTCTCCGGGCAAGCTGCGGACTTAAGTGAGAGACCACCACCCCCGCCGCCGCCGCCGCCGCCACCACACATCAGCATCGCGTTTTCTGCCTCCTCAGGAAGCCCATACTTCACTACTGGTTTCTGTGCAGCCAGTAGTTTTTGTGCTTCTTTGCGTGGATGTCGTGATGCCTGTTGTATGGCGGTGTCCGGCCAAGGCTCCAAAGTCCTGTAGCTTTGTATGTTTCCGAACTTTAGAGTTCGCTGGCTTCAGTGATTCTGTTTTTTGTTGGCTCAATAGCTTTCTTCATGGCAGAAGGCCACTGTTGTGATGTTGTAGGAGGCATGAGTCATGAGCGAGAAAGAACCTTGCTCAAGTCAAAATGTGAACCTGAACCCGACTTGTTCTGTGCTCTGAAAGGAGGCCCCTCTACGAAGAGTGACGCGTAATTTGTCCAGCGCCCTGAACGATCTGCGCAAGAAGGTGCCTCCGGGCAAAGTGCAGTGTGATCACAGCTGACATTTTTAGAGGGCCCATGGGCCGAGACATGTGGGACCTGGAGCCCGGAAGTCTTCTCTGAGATACCCCATACCACTATTCAGCTCTGCTTATCAGCAATGATCTGTCCGCGAATGCTTTAATCTTCTGCTGTCATGCATCAGAAGGCGCCTTGACGAACCATAGCATGGGCAGGCCTTGCACTCCTTGAGCGGCGACAACAGCACTCGGCTGGCAACCTTGGGGCACATGAGCACGGGCTGATATGGTCACGGTGTCAAGAGAGATCCATCCGTAAATGCCCATGTTGGTAGATCTGTCGACATGCTTCATGTGAAAGTGCTCTTGACATTGCCACCTACTGGCTGGCAAAACAAACTTCACTAGCAAATGAGCAGCTAGGTTGGCGTTCATGAGAACAAAAAACATTCCTTTGACGAATGACAGGTTTCAGCATTTAGAGAGTTAGGGGTGCTGGAGGATCAGCCAGGTCATGGGGCAAGCAAATGTTGGAGCAGCAGCGGCAATTTCCAAGTGCCATGCGGGCTGACAAAGCGGGCGAAAAGTAAAGATTCTTGGTTGTGGCATGTTGTGGCAAAAGCCCATCGACAGAGCTCTTTCAAACAGAGGGTCCAGTAGAGGAAGGCTTAGGAGTTGCACATTGCTGACGTTGGCTCTGAAAGCCCGTGGCACAGTATGGGAAGTGCATTGGACTTTTAAAGCACATTCCGCAGATCCTGCAGGTATAAGAATATGCTCAAAGGCAATCCCTGCTTGGAGGATTCACTTTGGCCTGTGGTGTAAAGTTTAAAGAGCATGAGACCTGCTGCCTTAATGAGGTCAGATTGTCATGTAGCACTTCGCATTTGCGCTCTCGAGCTCTGCACTCTCATTCACGCGTGCTTGTTCACGTGGTCTCCTGACTTGGTCGCCCGCAGCAGATGTTGCATTTCTCACGAGCAACCCACCTGTTGAGCAGGCGCGAACAGGTTCGGATCTCAGTTGAGCTGGCAACAAGTTTCTTGTTCGCCTGACTTCCAAGCTGTCGAAGGCCTGCCTTCCTTTGCAGTTGCTTTGGGATGTTTGCAGGTGCAGCTGGCGAACCAAAGCCGCTGTCACAGGCCAGGTGTGGAGCAAGTTTCTTGCACTGCCTGGGTGTTGCTCAGCAGTACAAATTCCTTCGCCGGCATGTTAAGGTTGATGATGGTGGTTATGTTGTGCATGAGGGCTCCTGAGCTTCTAGAGTTGTTGCCAGTGTAGTGCTTGTCGAGCCTGAGGCTCACACGGAAACCAGTAGACCCGGTTTAGGGGGCTTGATACGGTACCATCCCTGCGTAAACGTCCGTGTGAGGCATATGTTCTGTTTTGTGGCATTTCCGCTCAGAGTGGACCGAGCAATCGCATCTTTGTACAGCACACATTGACGCCGTTTCAGGTGGCTGTGCCTGTGCCAGTACCTGTGCAAACCCCACAGCAGGACAAGTGCTAGGCCTCGTTCGTACAACAGCTTTTCAGGATCCAGTGATTTGGCCAACAGGGCTTGTTGGGGATTGGCCAGTGCAGGGTATAGCATGGTTTGAACCTGAATGATACAAAGTCGTAGGCATTTTCGCAGCACCCAAAGCGCACTGGTGCGGCAGGACCTATCAAATTCCCCCTGCATCACTGAGTGGGAGGCCTTGCCTGCATGTCCACAATCAATCAGTGTGCAGAGCAAAGCAGCTATCCATATGGATTTTGGGGTCTAAAGGCGGAGGCTGCGAACTTTTTGCAGACCTGCCTTGCCACCTGTCCTCATCATGCACACGCGCGATCACAGAGGCTTCATTAGCTTGCCCAGGCAGCCTTGCAAGCGCATGCAAGCTTGAGAAGCAGAGCTGATTGACCTGGTAACGTATAGCTCTTCTTGCACAAGATAGACGGACGGTTGTTCCCAATCAAACAGATTGACATAGCCCCGTTGGCTACAGCAGCAAGAGTCTGCACTGCAGGCAGCCCTTGACTAGAGGCAAGAACTCAGTGCTCTCACCCGTCTCTCTCTCTCTCTCTCTCTCTCTGGCTCTCTCTGCAGGCTCCACACCGTAGCAGTCGATCAACGATTGAAAGGGGCAGCAGAGTTTCATGTGCCGTACTGTACATGTCGCAGAAACTTAGCCAGGTTACTGCAGTAGTGACTACTAGAGTCCTACAAGCCTCCAGGGAACAGTTTGCCTGCAGGAATATGTTGAGAATGTTGTCAGTGTCTCATTTCAACTTCATAGAAACAAGAAGTGCCGTGTGGCAGGTGGACCAATCGGTGCCTGGGCAGAAGAGCTAGAAGCTGTAAAGGTCACAAGCCGTTGGATTTCTCAAGTGCCCTTTGAAGCAGTTGTCCACTGCCACATGTGACAGTACTGTAGCACCAGCAATTCCAGCAGGGGTGACACTCCATCACAACTTAGTCGGTCAGGGACCGGGGGGTGAAGGCTACGGGGTCTGAGTTGCTTGGTGCTACGAGGGTAGTGCAACACGACTCGTTGGAGCTTAGGAGGTGCGCCTCGAGGAGCTGATTGGTACCGGAAGCACAGCAGAGGTGCCAAGATTAACGAAAAGGACACGCGGGCATGAGTTTCCTGCAGCGTAGACATGATCCGCCAACAGGCTGCTCCGTGTCAAATGTGATGGAGAGACATTGGCACAGGTGTTCAGGGCCACATGGCATGGAACTGACGTGGCCGCGAAGAAGCTGCGCTCAAAAGGACAGGTGAGTCAGCAAAGCAAAGGAAGCAGAGAGAAATTCGATGAACATGCAAATTCAAAGCCTGCACCCGAGCCGTCGCAAGTCGCCACGATTCGCGTATCAGTTTTGGTATAATGTCTTGTAAGTGCAGGGTTCATGGTCCATGGCATCCCTGTCATGCACTGAGCCCAGCACAAAGATAGAAGTGAGTGGGGGAAACTGGCTTCCCTCGAAGCAATATTATGCCGGCTCAAAATCCAAGGTTGAAAATATGGACAATAACCTTCTACGTCTCGGTGCACCCAGAGATGCCCAGAGATGCCCAAAACCAGCCCCTGTGATGATCCGCCAACTGCGCTTAGCCCTAAAACTGAAGGCTTCGCAAGCCACAAACGCATGTGACCTGAACCTCGAGCCCACAATGGGTTTTTCTGCAGGACAGCTGTCAACCGAATTCAAGCGCGAGATCTCAGTGCTACTCCGCTTGTTGGAGACTTGGGCACTTGCAGTTGGGCATGTTGCTTGAAGGATCCACAGCTTCTGCATCAAGAACAGCCTGGCAAGTCATGTAGCTGATGCAGTAATCATTTGCATCCGGTGGCACTTCACCATTGCATCTTGCATTGTAAGCCAGACGACTCTGAAAACTAACAACATTCTTCGGTCAGAAAGAGAGCATCAGGCGACACCCGAATTTGGTGCTCTTCATGGGCGCGTGTACAAAGGCACGCGTCTCAACTTCAACACGCGCGTAAAGCAGGTCCATGACCATTCCCGTATAATACAATGATCTGGATATTGTGGATAGCTGCACCTCCAACCTGTACAGCAGTTGCGTGGTTAATTTTGATCCAGGCTCCTCAAGCATTGATCATCTCAGAGTTCTGCTCTGGCGGGACCGTCTTCGCCTGGGCCTTGACCAGTCACGAGTCTCTCGAAACAGTGATCCATTTCAAGACTCAGAGACTGAGGCCTTGCTTCATCAGCGACGGGAATTGTCGCTCCCCTGGCCCCAGCGACTCCCAATCGCCCTGGATGTTGCAAAGGCCGTGCCGCAGAAATGTTGGGGATTTGGGTGGAACTTGCTGTGGGTTGCGACATCTGCAACGCAGTTTTGTCAAGCTTTCCATAACTGACGGGACGGCAGGGGATGAACTTTTTGCATCGGCGGCAGGCCAGGCCGGAAAGCGCAAAGTCCAGACTTTTTCGTCTCCAGACCCGAGCGGAAGCTTCCTGCTGTTGTTAAACCGACTTTCAAACGCTAGCTTGAGTGGCCTTCAAGGAGCAACACGCGTGCTATCGCCCCCTGCCCAATCAATATATACAGCGAGGAAGTAGTCGTAATTTCGGACGGAGTGCGGAGAGAGAACCCTGAACATGGGGTTGATAAAGTAACGCCTTCCAACTTGGCATGTTTATGAACATGATAATCATGCATCATGTGCTCTGCCTGTCGATGCTCGTGCCATGTTTGTAGCCAGGATTTGCTTAACAGATGTATGGTGCTGTCTATTTTGCTGTACCTCTATGATTCTCATTGTGCGTTTGCATCCAGAGTTGGTGAAGGCATGACTTGTCAAGGGCATGCGCTCCTGCAAATGCATAAGTTGCAAATGAAACCTCACTGGATGCTGGATACAAACAGCTGGTCGTGGCTCGTGGCAAGCACAGACGTGAAAGCCGGGCCTTGCGTGCCTCAGATTGCTCATCTATAGATATATATATAGATAGATAGATAGATAGATCCGTACAAACGTATGTGTACATATGTATACACATACATATGTGTGTGCGCCCTGCGCATTGAATCCTGTGGAGGTAATCGCTTATTAAGTCAAGCGCTCAAAATTAGCGCACCCTTGCTTCAAGGCATGTTGTAGCCAACCCTGCACCCGTTTCGGACCTGATATATCCTCAGCCAAAATGGTATAGAGGAGGGTGACTGAGCCAGGTGGTCCACCGGGACCTGAAGTCTTTGAATCTGCTTCTGGCCTGCCCGATACGCGGTGCCAGTGATGTACCTGCAGTGAAGGCACCCGTTTTGCCCATGGAATCCATGAGCCTCACAATCTGTCAACCAACCTTTCGCTAGAACAGAGGTCTCGGACTTCGGGCTATCACGTGCGTTCCGCCCAGATGCCACGCAGGCTTCCTGCCTGCCTTGAAATGCCTTGCTTTTAAACGACGCTGTGACGAGGGACCCAGGAGTTTCGGAGCGCCATGGTCACTTGCCCATTCGCTTTGCTACCTGATTCGGAGCGCACTCCAGAACACAAAGATGATGGCTCTGGATACATTTACCAAATCGGGTCTGGCTCCAGATTGCCCTGCGAAAGCTCGCAAAGCCCAGCCATTGCTGCGGCTTGTTTGCCCTGCCAGGTCATGATGACCAATGGTGCTGGAACCTACCATTGGATGGCACCTGAGGCTCGACACACCTTCAATGGTTGAGAAGTAGGTGGTGGCAGATGTTCATGTGAAAGCTCGGTCACGATGATGTTGAGCACCTTCACACAGCTTGCATGTGCGATTGCCATCATTGACCAAGCTTGCCAGCCGCGGCCCCCAGAAATCCAAAGTCACGACACATGCTTCGTGCCTGCAGGTGCTATCTGGCCAGGGTTACGACGAAAAGGCTTTAGACTTTAGCGCTGGTTTGCTCTCGTGGACTGTAATGGGATCGGGATGCGTGCATTCTGCTGAAGTCCCTGCGCTGGCTGTGCCCAGGAGACACCCCCTCCGCACTGCCTTTCCCTTCATCCGAGATGCCTGAATATAGAAACATCCTCCTCAATCCCATGCCGTGCCAGGTAGATGTCTACTCCTATGGCATTTGCCTCTTCGAGCTCATTACCCGTCGCATCCCATACGAGAATTCGGGCCCGAGCCACAGCTTAGGGAACATGAAATAACAAAGGTCATGAGACGAGCTCCTCTCATGAAGCAAAACTCATGAAGAGCTTTTTTGCTCAAATCTTCTTTTGTTCTGAGGCCTGGAGCCGGTTTCCATCGCCGTGGCTGTGAGCCGAGGCAAGCGGCCCGACCTGGCACTCATCCCCGAGGCCCCGAGAGCAAAATTCAAAAAGAGCAAAGCGCTGACACGCAACGTAAAAGCGACATGCTCCGATGCCACACTCAAGCCATCGTCCGGCTGGCACGGCAAATTTATAAAACAGAGGGTGGATGCCCGGCAAAGTTGCAGTGAAAGCACGAGGAAGAACTCGTGACCCTGAATTCTTTTTGCGAGAACGTGGTACAAGCAGCGGAAGGACACGCCTGCAGACCTTCGCCTCACGATGAAATGCTGCTGGGCACACCGTGCGCGACTTGGGATGTCTTGTTCTTCGGGGTTTCAGATGTGATGCAAAGCTTGTGGCTGAAGCCCTGAGAAGGGTTCCTTGACAGCTGATGCAGCTCACAACACCGGAGGTTCCAGCGGGCGTCCAGGGTTCGACACCATCTTGGACCGCGTCTCAGCAATAGGGAGGTCAGGCTAAGCAGTTTGCAATGCGGCCTCAGTCCTCATTCGAGGCTGGGTAAATGAGAGGGATCTCGAAATGAGTCATTTCCTACTCCAGTGCCGTCAGGAAACTCTGAAGCTGGTAAAGTCGACGAGGCCTTGACTTGTCTTCACGTTACACTGTCGCAGCTCAGCCCAGTTTGCGCGTGGTCCATCCTCGGGACACAGAACTCGCGCTTTTTCATCCGAAGTTGGGCTTCCAAAGATTAAGCTTGATTGATTCATATTTATTCAGTCGGCCTGGCCCCGCACTGCAGCGAAAGCAGGGTTGATGCAAAAGAATTCAGCGTCATGGCAGGTGTTGCTGCGTGTTATGTATGCTAAAAGGGTTTTGCTTTTGCCAACCGCTCGAGACATGTGGCATTGTCCATGCCGCTCGTTTGCAGCTCAGGCTGCTGGCACAAAGTGCACAGCAGCCAGCAAGACAGTCCGCAGACAAGAACATGGCAGTCAATCAGTCATTCACTGAAGTTGGCGGAATACACCAGGCCAAACAGCATGCTGTACACATTCATTTTTAGATAATCCAAAAAATTGAAAGTCATTAGAAGATAAGGTGGTGACAGTGTGCAACATGGGCAAAGTCAATTCGCGCACCTACGTAGCGCCAGAAATCGTCTTGTGCAAAGTCGAACAGCATTCTGGCCTGTAGCCCGGCCGCGACAACGAGCAATGAATCGCGAGGCCTGGCCAACATTGTATAGCAGTATTGCAGCATATTCAGCTTCTGGCTCGTGTCTATAAAGGTCATGCTACCTCCAGTGACCAGCAGACATGTTCACACCATCGCAGACCCAGACGTGAAGCGCTCTGCCTGCCAGCTGTCGTTTCAGTTTGTTCCAGTCTTGACAAGAGAGACCCGACAAGCACCCTGCTGGCTTCAATTGCTAGCTGGCGTTGGACCGAGAACAGAACCGAACGTTCCATTGCTGACATCCAATCTGCGAACTCATTGATTTACAACCGTCACTAAGTAAATTCTGCCAGGCGTTCGCGCAGCTGCTCGACAGCTCCTGGTTTACGTTCCGGCAACAGCTCCTGCAGGCGCCCTGAACAAATTCAAGATCATCATAACCGCAACCCGCTGCCAGGCTTATCCGGAGCCGACCAATGGTGTGCATACCCCCTCCGAGGTCTGCTTTGTGGGATTGGGCTATAGAGTCTATCTGATGCGATGCTCAGTAGGCTGCAGAGCTGCAAGAATCTTACGGTTTGGCAGTGACGAGACTGTCTCGGCAGGATAGTCGAACCATCTTACACCCCCTGAGACGGTGCTCCAGTAGATTCAGCTTATTGATCTTGGGTCAGGCAAGGACTCGCTCGGGCACTAGGGAAAACTGTGCCCGGCAGGACTCGAATGGCTAGTATGAGTAGACAGGCTTTTCGTCCTGAGCATGGTCCTTATAATTGTATTCATTGTGCACTTCTGCCCTTGCCAGTGCAAAGTATGGTCGAGCAGCCCTGCACCGCGTACACTTGCCTTCCAACACGTACAGCAACCTTTCGGCCACAATGTGAGAGGTCCGCTTCGACATCGACGTCAAGCCAAGCAGCGATGCAGAGGCTTGAGACTCAGTAATGGTTGCTTCATGGGCAAGTAACGCGGCGTCCACACTGAGGCGGTGACCTACGAACCCAATATCTTGTGGAGCCAAAGAATCGAGGACACAAGCAGCTCCGGACACAATTCTGGCAGGGTGTGCAGATTGGCCATTGAGAGCTCCCCGGTGTAGTTCAGATTTACCACAAAGTGCCGAAGAGTGCCGGATTCCATCCGATGCATCGACCCGACAGTTACTTCAGCCCTGCGCCTGTCAGTCCTGTGGCTGCTGCATCTGCCTGCAGGCACATTTCGGAGTCTGTTTTCCAAACAGGCATGCAAGCATTGATTCACATGACCCTTCCCAAATGTTCGGGTTGTTTGGATCAGCAACCGCAGCCAGACAAATACCTAAACAAAGGCCTGGAATAAGAGGAGGAGGAGGAGTCATAACAAGAAGTCACTGAGGCCTGAGGTCCTCTATCTTGATGGTAGTAGGAACGGGAAAAGAGGAGATGGGATGGCTTTCCATGATTTCTGGAGCAATTTTGGCACTGAGAGGATTCTTGAGACCTGGTTACGAGTACCAACCTTAGCCTTGAAAATCACGGCCGCAATTAACAACAAATTGCGAAAAAATGACAGTTTCGTCTGGCACGAGAGAAGTGTTTGTTGTGACTGCCCCGTTCACAGAGGTGTTAACGTTATGCCACAACGTCCCGACTCCAAGTTTTTAAGGGAAACCTGTAGGGTCATAAGCAAAGTTGCCACCTCCAACTGTGGGCATGGAGGAGAACAGCTCGCCTGGCATTCCTGAAAAGAAGGTCAGGACCGATTATGCTTGGGCATGCTGGGCTGCTGTCAAGGAACTTGAATTCAGTTACCATAATATAGGTATATACTAAATGATAGGGTTTCCTTATTATACTAAATTTGAAAAAGTTCCTCAACAGCAACCCAGCATGGGGGCCGATCTTGTGGGGACGTCGGGCCATCGTGTGCTGATGGCCGGGGATCCTTCAGAGAACTTTAAGGTAGCCTTTTCCGCTGCAGAGCCCAACTTTGTGGGCAACACACTAGTTATGAAAATCCACAAACAGAATCCAGGTCTCCTTGGCCGTCGAGGCGCCCGGCGAGGAGCAGCACATTCACATGGCATGCTTTGTAGGTGTACTGGGCAGGGGGATTCACTACGCATTCAAAACGATTCCGGAGAGTTGCAATGACGATTTGCAAAGGTGTTGTATGCGGCGATGTTGTGCTTAACTGCGATAGTGACTAAGCCAAACATGTAGTTGAATCAAACTGTCAAGCTGCATAGCCAGGGTGAGTTGCTATATTCTTGCATTTCTCAGCTTCTTGACTCTTGCTTAGTCAGACCTTGCGCTTTGTATGACCGGAAACATATGGGAAGGACAGATTCCGTGTCATTTTGAGAGATAGCTACCTGTATCCGAAAGTTGTGAAGTTTCTCAAAGAGTGAGTGGCGCAACCCAGGAAGCTACAATCAGCTCAGCTCACTCTGCAAGGACCCTACCAAAGAAAGCGTCAGCGGAAGGAGATCCATGGCCTCACTGGACTCAGAAGAGGTACGCAAGCACATGGTCAACACATTGACCATTGAGCTACGAAAGTTCATGCAAGAATCTTATGTTTGTGCACATCGCACCACCCACAGCAAAGCACATGCGAAAGCAACTTTAATCATTACTCCTCCTCGCATTTGCGAGGAAGATCCCAGTAGCGCCATCTCTCACGGTGACTCGCGCATGTGTCTTACGCCACTTGGATGCCTGTGTTTATGGACCTTTTATGTCATACTGATGGAGAACTTGGGAAGCGAGGTGTGCAGTTCTAGAACTTGGGAATGCAAACGATTCGAGCCGAGAACCTCCTCGACGGCCTGTGTGATTCATGAAGAACAAAAACGCCATAGGTCAGTTATCCCAGGTCCGGAATGAAAGGCCTGAGCAACGCGGAGATCCGCGCCATCAAGCCTCCTGTCATCAGATAAACAGTAGGCCGAGGCAGGGTATGGAGTTTGCAAGCAAGTGGAATGGAGTCACATGCACGTCCGCCTCTACTTGAGACCCGGTTCCATCCAAATACATTGTCAGCATTACGGTAAGTCGTGCTGCTGAGGCACCGGCTTCGCGTGAGGCTGGGCAAGATCTCTTCCATGAAGCTTGTTTCGGGCAAGAATTTGCACTTCTGACGGCAGACAGAGGGCTATAGCATGGTTTGATGGCAGAGACCAGGAAGGCGAAAAATGTGTCCTCCATAGCTCACTAGGTTTCGCTGGCTCACCACATGAAGTAGTGGGTTGCCTCAACGATTGCTAGGCAGGGGTCAGAAGAGTTACATCAGTACAACTGTATGATATTACGATATATTATCATATACTATACTATACTATATAGCATATGGAAAAGATCAGTCCAACATTTGTTGATGAGCTCAGGCATGATGCTGTGTCGGGCCTGGGCTTGACGCGGTACACGGTGGAGGACTGGACTTGCCCATGGGAGCATGCTGTGCTCGTATCATTTTCCAGCCTCGAGTGATGCACAACACGAAGCCGCCTACGCTTTCACAATAAAACAACAGCGAGTTACACTGACGAAGCCGCAACGTCGTAAGGGAGATCCAGACAGCCACTTTGTGGCCATCAGGACATGAATGATCTTGTCAATCACTTAGCCACCTTCGTCGGCTTGGACTTTGAGGATCTGCCCGAAGAGACCCTTGTCCTTTCCAGTTGACGCCCCGAACTATCGGAGAAATAGCTATTCCATGCACTGACCTAAACCTAATGCAGCCAACAGAAGCTGGAGCTGTGTGTATGTTTCCCTTGCCTCTGGCTGGCGTGGTGGGCCTCCAAAGCTGAAAATTTGCAAGATGCACAGCTGTCTGGAAGCATAATCAATTTGGCACTGCATCTTAACAATGCTTTCAGACGGTATGGAAGCAAGCAAGGTGACCTTACGGCTGGAAGATCTAGAATTTAGATCGCTGAAGTTTAGGAATCAGATTTGGTCTGCTGCATTCCCAGGAAGGGGTGGGGCGGGGCGATTGGTATGGACTCCATGTCCAGTAGCACCTCGGCGAGAGCGAAGCTGTCTGGAGCTTTGTCGGTTGGAGAGCCAACTGTGCAGATTGAATAATCAGCCAAAGCTTGACACTGGAACGCAAGTCACAACAGCACTAAGTCCTGTAAACGAAGATGTGTGCAACCCAGAGGCAGATTGCCCTGAAGAAGAGGCCTCCATTTAAAGGAGTTAGGAGCAAGCAGATGGTAGGCAATTTTGCGCGCGTTTCACTCAAGGTGCACATCCAGGATTAGTTTAGCTTCAAAGCCTGACGCATAGGTTTGCCCAAAACTGTACGCGTTCCATTGCTCACCCAAAAATGTAAGCTAGGCGTAGCAGAGAAGACCTGCACACTGTCAGTGCTTTGGCTGAGTGAATTAAAGCTAGAACTGCTGTAAGAGTCTCATTCGACTCTGGGAGCCCGCAACCGCCACCATGCGCCTAGGTATGAGCATGTTCGGCTTCGGAGGGGGTGGCGACAAGCAAAAAGACTTCAGTGAGCCTATCTGGGAGTGGCCGACGCTCAAGGACGCCACTGGCTTGGTGATGGCAGGCTGCATGAAAAACACCTTCAACATTGCCTCATCTTCCGATTTTGCGGAAGCATTAGAAGTCAACCAGCGCAAAGCTTCTTGCACATTACTCGGAGTTTATGCAGGATGGAACTTCTAGTCATTTGGGTCATCAAGTATCTTCCCACAGCCTGCCGGGGCCACTTGGCAGCACGAGCATTGACCACATCTTCAAATTCACGATTCTGATGCTGGGATCCAACACTGCAGATGTGCAAAGCTCCGAAAGTCTTGTGGCCCTAACAAGCACCCAAAGAGCTTGCCCTCTCTGTCTCAGAACCAAGACACATCAGGCTGCATCAGTCAAACACCATGAGCTCACACTCGGGTGTCGATAAACATGAGAAGTGCACCTACAACTTGGTGCCCAGGCAGGGCAAGGGTATTCAGCTCGTGCTGTCCTAGTGCATCGGAGCTAGTTTGGACTGCTGTCCCATCTGCTGCGAGCCGTGCTTTTCCACATTGCTTTCACCGAAGGAAGTGGAAGCTGACTGTTGCTCTGGTGATGTACCCCATGCTCCCCGCCTCGAAACGACCACATGATCACACGTACTTCCCTGGCAGGCAAGTGCTGATAGAGGTCATGGTGGCACAAGAAGGAGCTGCTCTGACTACATATCAGCTTTCTCTGAAGGCATGATTTGCCCTGAGACTGCTTGATGTTAACCCAAAGTTTTCGATTTCTTCAGATTTTGTTGGTTCCAAGAGCAGTGCTCTGCATTGCTCTGCCAGAAATCTTTGTTTAAGGATATCCACAAGCGGATCTTCGGCTCGAAGCTACAGCAGTTCAAGGCAAGAAAACTGTGGGCTGATGATGGCTGAGGATTGGTGGTTGATTGTGTGGGATTCTCAACCACTAACATAAGGGGTATGCCGAACTGCACGGACATCAAGGACATAGCCCCAGATGTATTGGTGCTCATATACCACACACTTGGCTGATTGAAATTGATCTAAGAAAAGTTGGTGCAAAGCATGTTGATTCACCAGCAGGCAATCAAGGAAATCTTGCTTGCCGGCGATACAAACCGTTTGGCCCCTTGGTGGCACGTTCGTAACAGTGGCGCCCTGCAAACCGCTTGTGCAGGGTTCTGTAGGGCTTGGTAGGATGACTTGTGTTTCGCGTGGCAAGATGATGACAACTTTCAGCAACAGGTACAGGTACAGATATGTTGATCGCATTCGGATTACGGGTGATCGATTGAATCCGTATGCCATTTTGGATCAACAGATCGGAGCTGCAACGGATTCAGCGAGATGTTCTTCTTTTTGACCCCTCCCGCCTCGTCGGTATTCCGCCTCGGTGAGAACCACAGGCAGGAGCCGGCACGTCCCATAGGGATTTTTGGACATCACTGAACGGGAATGGCAACAGCTGTCACTTGAAGACATGAATAGCTGGCACCTCATGGTTGGCCAACGCCTTGGCACTTGTCGCCTTGAACGGCCCATCCTGATCATCAGCGAAGACTTCCCGGTTCATCGCAGCCTTAGCTTGCCCAAGGTTTTTGACGTGTCTGAGGATCGCACCACTTGTCCAGACATCTTCGCCAACTGGGGCGGTCGTTTCGGAGCAAGATTCACCTGGATTTCATCGAGCCGGGACTAGCGCCAGGAGGGCTGAGAGCTCACAACATGTGAGCACACACCCACCAGGACCCCTACACACGCTACAGCCCGAGCTAAGTCACCACCTAGAACTCATACGGCGAGCACAATCTCTACATCATCATCGGCACCATCGTTTGGCAACATGCGCGACACCACGGACGCGGACGAGGTTCGCCAGTGGACAGAGGCACCGGATAGATCCTGCACCGGTGGCAGATCAAAGAGTTCGCGCAACACGTGCCGCTCAGGTTCTGCAGACCCTGCCTCGTCCAGCAGTATAGCAGTATAGCACCTCCCTCGCTCCTGAAACAAGAAGGACTGCCACCGACCTCCAAGAAGGCCCCTCCGCCACCACCACTTGAGGAGGACAGCAAGGAGATCCATACTTTGGCAGCGGCCCTACTCCATCGTGGCATCGTCAATCCTCCTGCGGAACTGGTCCCTTTGCGCAGCACGAGCTATGCACAGCAAGGCATTTCGATCCCCAAGATGACCCTCAACGTCTCCCAGCACCATCGGAACCTTGGAGCTTTTGGGACAAGGATTGGACGGCGCAGCCAGCACAGCCAGCTCCCGCCACGGCACCGGCAACCCCTGCATCCCCTACCAATGGAGCACGCGTCCGACCTCCACACCTCCGCACAAGGCCACGCCTCGCCACCAACCGTACAATGGAAGGACATCAGCGGGCAGCATCTTGTCGATTGCCGGAACCTCGTACCCATCTCTACCGATGGCGGCTTCATCCTACCGACCCCGTGCCCGCCAATTCGGGGGGATTCAATGGAGGAGGTATTGCTTCCCCTCCTCGGCAGCACATTGCACAGGGACGTGCAGCAGTTCCAGTCCTCTTCCTGGACGCCCAACATGTACGTCTCGCCCAACTCATCTCATCGTGCGGAGAGTGTCATAGGTGCTATGCGCCCAGGGGCAAGGCAAGATCTTCCCCCTACGCGCACTAATGCTCATCTTTCCTCCTGTTGTTGAACCTGGTCGAACCAACGAATGCGGGCATCCTGGGATCATACAGCATTGCACAGGGTGGCATCACTGTGGCGCAACACCAACACGACCTTTGGTCCGCTCCGAAGACCACCTACGGAAACACACACGGCCCTCTGCGCCTGGGAGGAACGCCTCCAATGGGTCAAGCAGCAATTCCAAACACACCGCGCTGGACCCCACCATAATATGGTGCTTGAAACATAAACACCTCCTTCACCCAGCGCCAATCTTACCAACCTTCCGTGCACAGATCCTACAGGAGATGAAATCCGTGGTGGAGGACCTGGAACCTGCCACGCACAAATGGCTGGAGAACCTCCCACAGCGCATAAGACATGCTTATCAATATGACAACACCATGACACCAGTTCCAGACTTTACATCTCTGTTGGACACGATAGGACACCCCTAAGCGAACACATTCTTTTTCGAACTTTCGCATGGCCGCCTGCCTGACGCCCGGCACCAACTGGTACACCAGACAAGACGTGAAGTACCTCCACCCACGCAGCCTCCCGGAATTAAAGAAACATAACATGAAGTACATCGACCAGAAGCTGCGAGACAACAGAGTAGATGAACACCACACGTTTATGCTCGAGGTGATAGTGCAAGAAGTCAGGAACGGCCGTACGAATGGCCCTTTCTACAACCTGCACATTGGGACCGGCACACCGTACAACCCAGCATATGCCGGGGCCCGCGCCTCCCGATGACAGATCTACCTCATGCCTCACCATTGATTGCGGTCGCCTTCAGCATCAAACGAGTCTGACCGGACGGGACCGGACGGCTAAGATCCGATGAGGAGAAGATTGGCGTAGGAGCGGCCACAATTCCACCTGTATCATGCACGACCAACCATTCCACCACACACCTGATCATTTCGCGTCTCTAGCATGAGCTGTCGCTAGCTACCTCACAGGCACAACCAGAAGCGGACCTACGCGTATTGGGACACGACCATGATGGAGCACACCGACAACTACCCTTTAGAATACCGGAACACGCCTATGTCTTGCTCATGATGACGGAAGGGCCCACCTCGTGGAGTCACAATGTCATACTATTTGGATCGGCAGCGAGAGTGTGGGGTTACAACCGATTTGGAGACTGCCTTGTGGCCGTCTCTCGGATCATACTGCTCTGTCCGACACTTCACTACGTCGATGATTACGGCAGCTCAGAGGTGGCGAGGGGGCAGAATCGGGAGTCATCAGCTACGAGGATCTCAACGGCACCTTCGGACACGCTATGAAACCTTCCAAGCGACAACCACCGGCAGTGGAGCACGCATCCAAGGAGGTCATTACATCCAACAAGAACTGCGTTCGGGTCAAACCATGTCCGAAACGAGTGCAGAAGATGAGCCACGAGACGGAGAAATGCATTGCAGAGAACGACATGTCTCATGATCTGGCCAGACGCATGGCAAGCAAGTGCAACATCCTGACGGGCAGCCTCTTTGGACGCGTAGGACGGGAAACCCTCATAGCCTTGCGTGCGAGGGCTAATTCCTCACACCGCCACCTCGTCAAGGCGACGACAGCAGAACTTCACGCAATACCTGACATCATCAACCACTTCAGACCAATGACCGTTCCCAGGACGATACGACCAGTGACATTCTCCCGGATGCATACTACGTAGCCAATGGTACCCGGAGACGACCAGGAGATGAGATCCCTTCCGACGAGCATCCTTCGGACTTTTCGAAGGTCGAGAACGGCTGGGGAGCGGTTATCTTCATTGGGGGCGACAGGAACAAGGCAGCATACTTCCAAGGACGACTCCCTCACGAGATATTCCACGAGATATCGAGACAGCTCAGCTGCAACAGCGCTTTCATATACTTGCTCGAAGCTTGGGTAGCCATCTTAGCGCTTTTGGAACCTTGGTTTGGACCATTCTGCGTCCAAACACGCCCTCCTGAAGGGAGTAGGCAGGCATTAGCCCTTAAATTGCCTCATTCGTGCGCACTGGACATGCGCAACAAACGGAGCATCAGACAGCGCGTCGGGGCAGCCACCAAGGCAAACATCTGCGACCCCATCAGAAGATTCGAACATGTCCCAGGGAGCGAGCAATGGATCAGGATCAACGTACCACTCCGGGACATCACAAAACGGTGCCGGAAGATCGTGGGTGATGTCCGGCTCGCTTCCATTCTCGGTTTCGAGTCCATACTATCCGTGACCTCATTGCACCGCTCTCTTAGTTGAAACCACATCTTACTTCGACGGGATTGCGAACGTTGCGTCGGAAACTGTTCGCAATAGCTTCGTTGTCCGGATACGACAACGGTTCATCAATGGAACAAGTGTTTCATAAACTTGAAGAACAGTTAACGCCGTGAAAACGGTTGGAAAACAGTGCGCTTGGCTGCTCTCACGAACATATAATTGCACCGGCTGCATACAAGCTAGAATCTGGAGCGTCTAGTTGTCAAGGGCCCATCAAGGTCCACTGGCACTTTTGGGTCCCGAAGGTTTCCTATCGAGTGGGATGTATAGGCAATCGGCCCTACATTTGGAAGATTGTCACAAAGCTCACGAAGGTGGCGGAGCTTACGTTTGTCCGGATAAACGACCTGGCAACCCCGCCCGAAGATGTGCCTCGCAAGCATTATTTCCATATGCGCCGCTTCCACTGCAGGCCTGCAGAGGAAAGAGATAATTTCCACAGGTGCTGCACAAGATGCGGCGCCACTTAAGAGGAAAGGTTGGAAAACAGGTGGCTGTGCTGGGCAGCACGCAACATCTCCGTGACAACGCACCACAGGCTGCATATGTTACTGTAGCATTGTGATGGGTGCGGAAGTACAACACAAGACTAGTGCCAACAATGAGGAAGCTGGACTTTGGGTAGCGTATGGTAGCGTCGTGCCATGCTGCCAGCATTTCCTCCTTTCTGCATTCCTCCAAAGAAACACTCAGTCATGCAGTATGTGATGCCCCATCACAAACCGTTGTTGCGGCATTTGAAGGTCTATGGTAACGAAACAATCACACATGCACTGGCCATACAAAGGGCAGGATCCAGGACTTGCTAAAAAACAGACGCTGAGAAGCTGCTCTGAAATACTTGCATCACTCCACCTGAGCATTTGTAGCTGAATCTGCTTCAGCTTCAGGTGAGCTTGCTTACCTATCTGGAGCCTCTCGTTGGACTCATCATTGTGGCGAACGGCATCATGATAGGCTTTCAGACGAGTTACTTTGCTTACACAAGTTCGTTCGATTTTACTCAGGTCTGTTGGCTTCGGTATGCTGCAAAGTCGCGGCTGGCATTGTAAAGATCTGTCGAAAACAAGGTAGTCGTTGATTCGTTGTTTTTGTGTGAATGGCTCTGGGGTCTGAGGCCTAGAGTACGAGAACTGGTCTGGCTGGGTCTATGTGGAGATTGCGTTTGCTTGCATCTTGCTGCTGGACTCGGTACCGCATCTCTTGGTCTTATTGTACTGCTCAAGCTGGATGTCCGCCGCGCATGTAGCATGCTGGTACGTTGCAGTGTGTGGAAGCAGATGCAGTTTTGTATTTTCCTGCACGGTGAGAAGGCATAGCTGCATAGCTTGCAGACCCCTAGAAAAGCTTTTCCCTTCAGGAGCTTTTGCTGCGCATGCGATTGTTGAAGTGCCGCGATTTCTGGTGCGGTGCCGAGAGGCAATTGCCTGCTTTGAAGAGGGCTGGAGATCTAGGTACATATTCGATAGCATTTCCTTATCTCTTAAACGGAGGGTGGAAAGTAATTCAGTGTTCCCTAGTGCTCCCCAGCACTCCCGAACACTAACACGTGCTAAGTATCTCCAATCAAGCTGCCCCCAGTACCCAACACTAAACAGAACGTCGGACCAAGCAAGCAAGAGGGGTTCGGTGGCGCCGAGTGTGCTGTACAGTCAATTGGATTTGCTGTATAGAAGGAGTCCCACTGAGGAATTGTTATTGTTGATAGTCCGAAAGGCGTGGCTTCGAGCCAAAACACGAACACGTTGCATGCGAGGGCAAAATAGCAGCATTCCAAAATGTAAGGATGTTATACGCACGCGATTTCAAGCCAAGATGGTTCGATTCTGAGCCAAGTCAACAGACATGGGCAGAATCAATCCAGTTCAAAAAGAGAGGATGCTGCGTTGCTGTTTATTGTATTTCAGGATTATGCTTACGAAGAAGCAGAACTTCACCAGATTTTCTGCGGTGGCTGGCTTACGCGATAGGGTGCTGGTACCATGACATGTTTGTCTTATTACGACACGTACTTTCTCACCATGATTAGAGGGGGAGCAGCTGAGTGCTGGTGAGCAAATGTCTTGTTATAGTGAGTATGTCTGTCTCGTTGTTGCGGTTGCACCGCCCCGTCACCTCACGCAGGTCAGGTATTGGTGCTGGTTGACGCAAGGGTTTCCCTTTTCTGACAGTCATGGGCCCGAAGATGGATCGGACATCAAGTTTTGCACAAGAGCTGCATGAGCAAATTCATCTAGTCATGAACTCATCTCCCTCGTCCGGAGCGCGAAAATTCACATGGAAATTTCAAAATCAGCTCTTTTAGGGATGGCTGCCCTTCTCAGGATAGGAATGGTTTCTGTCAAGTTTTGCATTGCAAGTCCTTTGACGGGTGCACCCAAACAAGCAAAATCGTCAAAAGCCTAGCTGTGTGGATTTCCCAGTTTAAACACTGATGATGAGCTTCGGGTCTGGGAAAATAGTACTTCCACTGAGCATACCGGTTCAAACCCTCTACGAAAAGCACGACATGCTCCAAGATGCAGAACTTTCAGCCTTGTCAACAAACAATGTCACAGTAAACAACGGCGATTTATGGATCATCATCCCGTATTCTACCGGAGACGTGGTTGCCGCAATATTTAGGCCTTGTGCTTTCCCGGTCTCACGCCATCAACTAGCGTGAAGTCTTGCACATCACCGTGTTTTTGCTCCTATTGCAAAGGGTTCTAACTCAGAAACATTGCGAGAACTTAGCATCGCGACACGTCATTGCGAAACATTAGAAACAGATGTAGTTGTAGTTTTGCTTACTTGCCTCATTTTTTACCTTAGTAATAACTGCTGCTGCTGTTGCTGCTGCTGCTCCTCCTACTACTTGACTACTACCATTGCTGCTACTGCTGCTGCTGCTGCTACTCCTACTACTACTACTACTACTACTACTACTATTACTACTGCTACTACTACTACTACTACGACGACGACGACTACTATTACTCCTACTACTCCTCCTACTCCTACTCCTACTCCTACTCCTACTCCTACTCCTACTACTACTACTACTACTACTATTACTACTCCACTACTACAACTACAATTACAACGACTACAACTAGAGCTAGAGCTTAGGAGTAGTAGTAGTAGTAGTAGTAGTGGTGCTACTACTATCACCACTATTCCCCTACGCGCCTTGAATCGATCGTGGGTCCAAATGCTTCTGTGTGCGCGTGGGGAGGCGGTTGGGCGGTGGGGTTAGGGGGGGAGGGGGGGAAGAATTTTCATTTTAGAAGTTACGGATTCAGAAGTTTCAGAGGTTGGCTTGGACATGTTAGTTGGACGAAAGTTCAGGTCTGCTGTGTTTGGAAGTGAGGTTGTGAAGTTCCAATGTTCAAGAGAAGCGTTGATTCAGGCTTGTAGCAATATGTACCCGGCTTTAAAAATTCAGCAAGTTGCATGATCAAGCCATGCCCCATCCCAACAGCGATAGCCCTCATTTTATTTCCGCCCCACAGCCTTTGAACTTAGCTCATAACAAGATCTCTAGAAAGCAAGACAGGACTCCTTAAGACCGTTGCGAAGAATCGCCACAGAGCAAGATACTTCCAGAATTAGCCACAAACTTTGAGCCACACTGCCACGCTGAAAGCTTCTCTTGATACCTACTGAATCCATACAGTATCCACTTGAGAAACAAGTTTGGGGACTTTAATACATGCTGCGTTGAGGGTGGTCAGGACTGGTTCGGCTTGCGATTCCATTAATGAGGCCTATTGCCATTCTGGTTCAGTGTTTTGACATCTTACTCTGTTTGTCACGATAGTCATCTCCAATCGCCATGTGGTTGTAGACGATGACGGAGACTGGATCTGGAACGTGGTATAAACATGTCCCAACACTGAAGCCACAAAACGAATGCTTGCCACAGGCTGTGGAACTGGTTTGATGTGTTTCTGGGTGTGATGGCGATCACTGATGTCGCGCTGCAGCTAGTTTGGCAGGCCTGACTCTTAAAAAAAGTCATGCCACCCAACCAAAACACCATCATGTCAGCGCGGCGTCTCAAGCGGGGCCTGCTCTGCCTAGATGAATCAAGGCCACGGAAAGAAGGCGCACGGGAACACGGGCCCCATGAGCACGGACTAGAGTCCTAAGCCAGGATCATCTTAATGTGGGGCAGCTCCAAAGCCTCCAAATATAATTGCTGCTCATGCTTGATGGCCTAGACGAAAAGATAATATGCTTGCAGGAAGCTAGATGCGGAAGTCCACAGGTAGTGATGGAAGACTTAAGAGATGGATTTGCTGTGACGATGGCCAGGCCAGCTCAGATATGGATGGCACCAGTCTTCTGCGCTTCTGCCGACTGCCACTCGAGAATTGAGCAAAAGCTTCTTTCGAACTGCAAACTGGGGAGTGAGAGCAAGGCCAGCATGCAGCACAGTCCAGCATTCTGCGAGAGCTGGATGACCTGCCTACACATAGGCACTTGACCGTTGAACCAAGGTTACGCTTGGCGCGGATTGTAAAAGTTTTCCGCTTAAAGTTCATGAGCCATCCGGCTGCAGTCAGGCATCTTCCGTGCTCGCGCTGCAAGTTTGTTCAGGTTTGAGTGGGCTGCTTGCACTGTTTCTTGTCCCTGAACACAATTCACGTCAACAACGCTCGCACACGCCACAACTTGAGAAAGCTCTGTGGAGCATAGACTGTTGATTCCTCAACCAGGAGATTTGCGCCTGATGATCAAGGGCCTGGTTGCAGGAGTATGGACTTTGTGGCCTGCTTGATGTTGGTGCAAAGGATTTTCAGGCGTTTTGCAGTACTTTGAGCTAATGGCTCAAGCTGCCCAAATTGAGACAGAGGGTGCAAGGGCTGAAGCCAGTTGAAATTCACAGGGCCCAGACTGCGAAAACTTTGGCGGGCTTCGTTCTAGCAGCACCCAGCTGAGTTGTACATCACAAACTTGTGTGGAGCCTGTTCAGTCAGCTGGAGAAAAAGTGCAGATCGTGCTTGAAACTTGCAGCTCGAACGAGGTCCCTGGCATTTCTGCTGCTGGCTGCAGTTCTTTACGTCATCGCCGGATTTACCACAGTGGCCATAGGTCGCAACATCCGACTGGAAGAACTGGGACCGCTTTCCACAGCTTTGTAAGCAAAGTGACTGGAAGTTCAACACATGTTATCAGAAGCAGACGACTCTTAAGCTGCTTCTGCTTTTGCACCGCAACTTCGAAAAAGTTGAGCTGTCAAGACCGTCAAGACCTGTTCTGTAGAAGTGCTGCAGGCTGTGGACTCATGAGTAATCATGTAGAACCCTGACGTTCCAGCCCCTAACCTCTTTCGGTGCTCATTTAAAAGCATGCATACCCCTGAGGACTACACACATATTTCGCCAACATCCCTATGTCCATGTTTACTGCGTTCCGATGCTTCACCGGTGAGTGCGCCACTCGGCAAATGCCTCTTCAGGGGAGTTGTTTGAAAATCTTACTTCGTGGTCAGCCCTCGGGCTCGCAGCAACATTTTGACGCTGTTGCTCGACGAAATCTCTACTGGTACGTGCGCTCAGCATCGCAGGTGCTCCTTGCAGAATATCAGCCCACTACCCTCTGATTGTTTTCACCATGGATACTGTCAGCTTCATGTGATGCACCTGAAGCATGGACCTCAAACCTCTGCTGTGTCAAGGTTAGCGATGAAGGTCGATCCATTCCATCTATCTTGGCAGAGGAGTTCGGCGTGCTCTTTGTGGCAGGGACCGGGGGATACGTAAGCAAAAGGAAGCAATTCCCAAATAGATCTGCAGCTGTGGGAGCAACGAATGTGCTGACAGTCTCGTACACTTCTGCACGCCGGGCAGGTCAGCTATGTGGCGAGCTACATGCTCGTAAGCATGGGCATCTTCAACGTGATTTTGGCGGAGTCCTGGACTGGAACCAGTTCTATTGCGTTGCCCTTGGGCAAGTGCTTGTATGTTCTGTGGATGCTACTTCGCCGTTGCCATTGATGTCGCGAAGGTTGCAGCAGCCTGTTTTGTGTCGCCGTTTAGAGAGTCTGACTGTGGAGTCCTGTGGAGGGGATTGCGCAGGATTGCTTCAGGTTTGATTCTACCCAATTCTATCCTATGAACCCTATTACGATGTATAAAAGCCCTAACCTGTTGAGAAGCCTTGCAGAATCTGGCATTCCAGGTTTGGCACAGGGGTGCAGAGAACCACAGCAGAGTCAGCATTTGAAACAAATCATGCAAGGTTTTTTGTTGCCAGGTCTGAGTACTACTACAGACAGCAGTCAAGAGTGTTGAACCATTGGCTTGACGCAGTCAGGGTCGCATCATGCTCCATTGAGAGACGTTTTGCACAACCTGCTGCATCCAGTCTTGGGCTCTGCAGAGAGCATACCTAGGTATATGTGGACATCACAATGAAAGCTGCAAAGGAGAACGATGCAGTCAGCGCCGAACAGCACATCGGCCATCAGAAGCTATCATTCGAAGCTAAGTGCGCATCAGGTTACAGCGGCCAGCCAAGGTATGCTCGCGAGTCCATTCGCATTGCACGGGCAACCCGGGAGTTGCTGAAGAAGTTTGCGGCGGCCCACCACATCTTCCATGAGACGGAGGACTTTTTGAAGTGCAAACAAGAGTAGCATGACTTCAGGCTGGGGTATCCGGTCCATGAACAGAAAACTCAAGCTTCATGCTCCAGAGATAAGAACCTGCCCGGACGATACCGTCATGATCCTTATTCATTTATTCTCCCACAGCCCGGCTCGAAAAGCACTAACGGCCACGATGTGCCGGAAGTGTGCGGGAGAGAGGTTTTGCATTGGCTTCAGGTTGAAGATGCAAGGGCGCAGGTCTGCATCAGACAAAGTGGGATGATTGAAGCCTGCATGTCTCCTAGGTTTTGAGATCTGCTGCTTTCATCACGAGTAGTATGCCGTAAATGTTCACTGGTGTGCAACGTCAGTAGCCGTTGGCTTCGCAAGTTTCTTCTTCAAATGCGTGGCAGATATGTTCTCGTTTGAAGGTTGGGGAACTGCAGCTTTGCGCAAATGTCACACGATCGGCGTAGTGGACAACACTTGACAGAGGGTGGGTCCTGGGCAAGGTGGGAAAGGAGGGAGAGGATCGGGGAGGAGGCGCATTCAGATTCTTGGACGCAGGCACAAACCTACAGGTAGCGCGCTACAGCATGCGTGACATGGTGACATGCGTTTGCCCACCTTGCACTTGAGCAGCACTGACACAGTCCAACCAGTACGAAGTTGAAACACCGTACAGATGTGGCTCGGGCTAGTAAAGTCCGTAAGAGAGAAGCGTATACCGGAAAGTTGCGCTAAGGGCAGAAGGATTGCACATGCCTTTGCATTGTCCGACGTGAGGATCACCACGTGGACATGTCGCGTCTGACGCTCACTCCTTCTGCAACCTTGCTCACTGACGATGAGATCCACGAAAACATCCAGATCACGAAGGACTTGCCTGGCAGAGCCTGTTTGCCTCGCAGCAAGAAATCCGATTGACATTCTTTCATGCAACACATGCCGCATGCGATTGAAGAAGCAGGCTTTTTAACCCAGAGCTTCATGCCTGCAACAAACAATTTCATTCTGACAGGACTTATTCCTCTGCGTGATCCAGGATAGAGGTGCTATGCCATTATGCACAGCTTTGCAAACTCAAGCTTTCTTCAACCTTCCGGTAGTTTTGGGGCTGAGAAGCACACCATGAAAGGTGTGCAGCTCCTCATGGACGAGTTGGAGCTGCCCCAAGAAAGAGCACGTCTCTTCGAGGAGCCTCCTTGCTTCCCAGTCCTTGTCAAAGATGTGATTGTTTCGCAAATTCGAAAATTTGTCAGATGTTCAAGAGGCTTGCCCTGAATTTCCACCCTCACGTTGTAAACGAGCGATGAGCAAATCCGGCCTGAAAACCAGAACTGCAAAAAAAAGGCCAGCCTAATCTTGAAGATTCCTCCCGAAGTGTGTGCGCCTTCAAAGCCAGACACCAGCTGCGGGCGAACGTTGACTTTGAAGTCATGCCTGACATGGCACAGCACTCCTTTTTGAACTTCCGCTGCGTGCCACTACTGACTTGACATGGCTGCTTGACCTCAAATTCACCACATTGCGATTGTGGCTCCCCTCTCCCATCCACAACGGTGTTGATCCAGAAGGGCGTCGCGCAATAGATTGTGAAGAGCGAACTCAGCAGCAGCGCAAGTCTCACCTGTGCACAAACACCTTGAAGTTGAATAGGGAACCTCGTGGGATGCGGAGGAGCACCGCCTTACCTCCACGATTCGGGAAAGGTGAAGGTCTTGTTTGCACACAAGAAAGGGTGTTTGTGAGCTTCTGTTCCTCGCTCTTTGTCAAAGCTTCAGGTAGGACGCAGAGAACTATCCAGAACAAAATGTTTACAGAGCTGTGCTCATGGGGCCGGCATTGCAAGCAAAGCGTAAATTCCATGGCGTGCTCAGCACGACGAGGCTCGTGCAGCACCCAGAAGCCTCTGGGCAACGTACCGGTCTCGACTTCTGCAGCTGACATGTTTCGAGGCGGGAGAAGCATCCGAGCTGAATGTGCAACTGTCGCAACCTGATGCAGCCAAAGAACGCCGCACAGCTGACCTCAGCTGCGTTCACGTGGAAGGCACAAAGCGATGACTGAGTCGTTCTGGAGGCGGCACATGCTCAGACCGCGGAGAGAACAAATCGTTGTGACATGCGCCACGTTCACGCAGACTTGGTCCAGCAAACTGCCGTGTCAGAGCAGCGCCAATTGATTCTTTGTAAAAAGACATTGCTTCAGTGAAATGGCTGGGCACCGCACTACGGCGGCAGCCCCTCGAAGTAGGCGACAGCCTCGGCCCCATGGAACCGCACGAATCCTCAAAAAGCGCATGCAAACTTTGAGTATGCACAAGACCACGGCACAAGCACCATAAAGCCTCAATGCCAGCTCTTGATGACGGTCTTTGTACATGGTGCTTATTTCTGTATGTTTTCCATGCAAGAACAAAACAATGGAAACATCCTCAAATGCTTTCAGGAGATATGCAGAGCACTCAACATGTGATGTGACCTTGTTCTACTTCGAAGATAGAAGACACAGCGTGAGACCACAGACCACTTTTTGAGCTGGTTATCAATCGGCGCATTCTGTGCATGTTTTGTTACAAACCTCTGCGCTACGGTGACCATCAAAAGGGCACATTTGACTTGCCGTAAAGCGCGTACATGCATGCACAAGCATTCAACCATACACGACCCTGCACACATGTTGATGATTGTTCATGCTGTTGCAACCACATGTGCAATCAAGGCGCCATGCGCTGTAAGCTCTGTAAGAGTGAGGCTTTTGCAGGCGAAAAGCTGCATTTTTGAGAGCATTTAACTCTTCCAGCGCGGTGGGTGAGATATTCATTCAAACGCAGGTATCTTCACGGTTCAGCCTTGTGGCTGTTCTTGCTGAAACTGCACCCACATGTGAGTATCATCCAGCTGGACTGCATCGGCATCATCATGTCAGCTTGTATCCCCAAACCTGAAGGCATTAGCACGCGTCATGGTGGGTCCCTGAAGCCACAATCGTTGCCTTGGGTGCAGGTCATTGATGCTGATGGATCAGGCCATGTACATGTTGCAGCAGCAACCTACCATGAGCTCATAGATACTGACGTGTCAGGAACTCTTCATATTGCTGAGCTGGCAGGGGCCTTTGCAAAGAGCATGGCAGATAGCTCAAGGGTCGCAAGCTCCGCAGAGAGAGAGAGAGAGAGAGAGAGAAAGATGGTACCCGACCTGACTGCCTGGACATTGCTGGGCTCGGCGCAGTGCGCTGGCTGGTCCGTAGGGGCCAGCTTAGCCCGTAGAAGAAGAAGAAGAAAGAAGACGCGGGTTTAGGGCTTTTGGTCAAGGATGGGGCGTACCATGTGGATGGTTGAACGACCTTAGTCTGCATGAGCAGAAGTTCTAGGCAGGGCGCAACAAGGGCGTGGGGAAGTCTCAGGGACGAGCCAACAAGGTTTGTCTCAACGCCCGAACGAAAGAAAAGAAACAAAACAGAGAAGTGCTGAGCAATAGTGCGCAGTACTCCTGACCTCCTTAGCCGGGATGCTTGAACCTTGCGCAGGACTAGGGGGTCCGCCACTGTTGGGTATGTATTAGTGTTGGTTGCACTGTTGAACATCCCGCTGGGATGGCAGTTCTAAACGTGCTGTAGAGAGAGGCAGATTCTGGGACTGAGAACCGATGTCCCATCCTAGTCGGGCTGCAGAACCCAGAGCACTCCAACCCATACTAGTTGTCCCTTTCAGTTGTGTTTGAGCAACCTGCTGGGAGAGCATGAATCTGGAACCTTTCCACACTACAAGAATGTGTTGAGTCTTGCTATGCATGCACGTACTGTTTTTCTAGTCCTTCTGGTCACGCCACTCCAGGAATCGTAGAGATCATGCGACACTCCCAAGGGTTTCAGAAATGGATCCCTGGAACTTCCTTTTGAGTATCATACTCTGCCGTGACCCTGTTTGTATATCATCCACTTCGTGTTGTCTTCGGGTGAGAACGCAGTTGGGTCCCTAAGTGTCACGCGAAGACCGACACAGGACGCAGGGCAGGACTCAATGCCCGGGGCTGTTGCACCAACCCCCCAATGCAAAGCAAAATAGAAGAGAGACAGTGAGAGCCGATGATAGAAGTACCACGGATTGAGGAAGACAACTACATCCAGATAGACAACCGTAGAAGCACCATTGAATGAGGGCGAATTACGTATGCAACCATGGGAGAGTTGTTCACAAGCAGCAACGGGGGCCCTAGAATTTTTGATGTATCGATCCACCTATTGTTGGTGTGCAAACAACTTCATTGACAATTTGAAGAGGAGAATAAATCCCTGCGCTTTGGGAGCTCTTAATTCATAGCCAGCTGCAACCAGAAGGTGAGAGGGAGCCTCTGTGTATATCATGTGAGGGATTCAAGGACTGGGGAGCCAGACTCAGCTTTCAATGCGGAAGTGCGGCAACTGTCACACTGCATACTTGGAACAATACGGGTGGTGATTCTGCCCCGCCGTTGAGACGAGGGGACACTGCGGTTCAGTTCGGGTGTCGGTGATGGTCTTTACGGCGTATTGTTGTGATTGGAACAAGGGTCAACCCCTCGTCAGCTGGAAAAATGGCCGTGTACAGCACAGCCTTGCGTCACGTTTTTTCTCCGAAAATGTTCTGCGGGTGATAGGGTATGGCCTCGGGAGGATGCTGCTATGGGAGAAGGGGATGGGTAGAAACATGAGATGGGTCGGGAATGATGTCATTCGCGTCTTTGTGTGTTTCCTATACCGAACTAGCTCCAGACTGTGCGGACTTTGCTGGGCCATGAGAATTACTCCGACGAGCGCTCTTGGGTGCTCGTAAGGCCTGTAGAAGAAAAAGCTCATAGTACACAAGCTTGAGCTTGCCACCTGACTATCTCACCCACTTAATGACAGACTTGCAGCACTCGTCCAAAGCATCCAGACCATGCCAACCACCAACTAAATTACAAACCCCTACGACATCATAGGAATTGACCGAGCATACAGGACATGCAAAGCGAAGCCTTGCCACATCCTTCGGGACGCAGGACCCAGGGCGGCGTGCAATAGAAGAAGAAAACGAAAAAGACAAGGAGCGTGACAACTGTAACACCATGACAAGATGACAGGGCCTTCCTTTTGTTACTCCTGGCTTGTGTGGTTCCTCACCCATGGGAAACCATCCCCTAGCAGCCAGCATTATGCCCAATACAGGCCTAAACCTTAAACGTGGAACCCCTCGGCGCACTTCACCTGACCTCAGCCAAAAGAAACGCGCAGCAAACTTGTAAGATTTGTAAGCCGGTCGTCCTCAACCAAGCAGCGAGATCACTCTCCAAGGCACCTACAATTGTGCGGGGGTTGCAAGGGGGAGTGTCCAAAAACAAAATGGTGCACAACAAGGCATGTAAGCATACCTTAGCGTTGTTTCACGCAAGGCAGCTTTGGTGAGGAGATCTCTTCGGCGGGGAAGTCCTAGGGGTGAGCCCATGGTCTCACCTTCACGTCAGAACGAAAGGAAGAAAGAAAGAACGAGCATGACATAGGATGGTTTCGCCTAGTCTTCCATCCAACAAGGGCATGGCGGAGATGCCGGAGAGGGGCTTGCGCCTCTCTCAACGTGCGAATGAAAGAAAGACAGAAAGAAAGAGAGCTTGACACCGCGGAACTCACCAAAAAATTGGCGAAATCAGGGGCAGGAAGTCAGGGGCAGCCTTTCTGACCAAGGAGACTTTGCGCACAGTGCGCAAAGGGGGGGAGGGCTTGTGCCTGGCTCTGCGCAGCATAATGAGGTACGAAAGGCCTATGATCCACATCGGGGGAGCCCGTGTCGCTGAGGTCCACGGCCTGCTGAAGATCAGAGGCGAGGTCAACAAAAGCGACCTTGTCGCGCCATTGCAGCTTGCCCAAGACCTTTGACATGCCACAAGCAATCGGGCTGTACATATTTGAAACCTCAAGAGTGCAATGCCCGAGTTTCTTCAGAACCCTTGCAGATTCAGGCTGGCCACTCAGTCAGTCCAGAACCTGGTCACGAGCCTCAGGGAGATGACCCAGACTTCACTGGAGGCAAGACGAGGGGCTTTATGAAGAGACAAGCAATCCTGTTGACTTTGCGCCCCTTGCAGGCCATGCAAAATGAAGTTCTCCGACAATTCCAGGAGCCTGGCTTAAGGTGGTTGAGCTGCATGTCCACTGTGTTGGCCGGGTCCTGTGGGCATTTGTCATGGACATGAGTTGTGCCTCACTTATGTGCCTTTTCTTAGACGGCAGTGGCCTTGAATTGTATTGAAAGGAGCTCCCTCGACGTATATACTTCCAAAGCCTACCCGGCCTCTCGTGCTCATGCTCGAGGGCACAGGCCACAGCGGGAAGGGTAGCATTGGCAGATCTCCAAAATTGGCACCATAATTGAGTCACAATTATTTCTCCAAAAATCGCCTGGTAGATCTCTATAACCCCCCGTGTCATCCCCATGTATCCACCCATGAATCATGAGGCATGCACAGCAACATCCGCATTCTTACTTAGCCAAGAGAGGATGCACATGCATCCGAGACTTTTCCAACCAGGCGCCCGAATCTGGAATGCTGATCCGATCGCCAAGCCTGGGGGCGAAAGGGTGCCCAATGCTGCATTGGGCATCTTTGGTTTGGGAATGTACACGGCAATACATGTGTGTTTCGGGATCTTGAAAGTGCGGAAAAACACCAGGAGTGAGACCTCCTGGCTTACTGTCTTTCTCAGAGGGTCACATGCCAATGTGCTAGATTTGGCTTCCAAGGAAGCGCTTGAGGTGGGGCGTATCAGGTGGCGGTCAGGCCCAAAGCAGTGTTGCCTTCTGCTGGCTGCAGGCTGGCTGTGAAGCCACCACGACAGCCCAGGGTGCTTGAGGGCCATGAGGAGGAGCCTACACCATGTGAGCCAAGCTCAGTGGCGTAGCATTGCGGATTTTGCCATCCCAGCTTCGTTGATTTTCTCGTGGGAGCGTCCGATATTCGGAAACGACTGATGTTCCTGCCTGCGGAGGGTTCCCTGGAAAGTGGATGTAAGTTGAAGAAAACGTTCTAGATTGTACCGATGTCATGCAGCTTGGGCCCTTTTGGACGACGAAATGCACCGAGCATTTCTATATATACCAGGTCTAACGACCTAATCCTGGCGAATGCATCGGCTTATGGAGCCGCCACATTACTTGATGCCTTGGTGCCTCTCCCGAGGTATCCCCAGCTTGCCAACACCTGAGGAAAGAGTCCGTCTCGTGTGAACAAGCATCAACTACCCAGGGAAAGCAAATCCAGAGAAAGTTATGTGATGGAGGGGTCAGCACCCGCTCATCGGAGCGCCTGCCACTCCACCCCGTCAGAGTTCTGATGCATCTCAGGCTTTTAAAAAGTCCGTGCACCGTGTTGTTGGGTTGGGGCTGCTCCCCTTGTTCTGACCATGCAGACTTGGCATCATGAGGTTAGGTGTTGCAGCTAGGCAGGCGGGTGGCCATTTTCCGGTGGTGTTGAGTGGATTGACCAGGTCTGGAGAACGTGATTGCTGAAGCTACCTCTCAAGTAGCATTTCACAGAGCGAACAAGCCACAAGCATGATCGCCCGGAGCATCCAGAGTACCAAGGGCAAGCCAGAGAAAACCGACCTTCCTTTACTCCCAACTCCCTCGCATGCCAGGTTGCAAAATGCTTGAGACGGAATCGTTCTGCACGTTCAGTAGGTTGCAGTGAGCCAGTTCTTTCAGAAACCTAATGACATTCGCGTGTATCGCGTTGTTGGAGCAAGGGAAGGTTGTTTTTGAAAAGCTGGCTCTCTGCACGTGTCAATGCGAGATGCCGCTGTCCCAACACAGGACGATGCCGAAAGGCTTCATTCAATCCTCAATTGCTTGCGTAGCTTGGACTATATGATCAGTATTGTTCTGATCTTTTGCTGAGGGCGAATAGGGAATACTAGAATCCCTTTTTAATAGATTCCTTTATTCCCCATGATTAGGGAAAGATTCCATCCTGCCAACGACTTCAGAGCCCCAAGACACGCGCAATGAATAAATATCCAAATAGCCATTCAATATTTTGATCATGAGATCAACATATATTCGTCATGATAATCTGCTCTATAGACAAGTATGGATGAATACGGATGATAGACCAACCTAGATATCAGAAATGATAATAGTTCTAGATATACCTCAATAAAACGGAGCGGCAACTTGCCGCCATATTTACTCGCGCGGGGCCGATCTTTTCCTTTTTTTAGATACCTTTGCGGGGGTTAGAAAATTCGCGAGATTTTAGGCCCCAATGGAAAAGCTAGAGGCTCTCAGATCTCAAAGATTTTTGGCATGACGCCCTCCCCCCCCCCTCTCTCTCCGTTGCATTTCATTTTTCTCTAGTTCTTTATAAAATCATCCCTCTTTTGCGATTCTTTAAAGCTCTGTATTTATAAAATCATCTCCTTTATTGGATGCTTATAGCTCTGTAGATACGAACAAACGATCTTAATTCTCTAAAATTGCGATTTTCTCTCTCGGATTTCTTTACGTTGATCCGTTATTCTGATGATTGGTCGATAAAAGGGGCTATCTATCTATTTGTTCGATCTATATATCTATTTTTCTTTATAATATTGATTAGTTTTTCTGAAAGATAATTTATTTATTAGATATTCTGGAATAGAAGGCTAGGCATTCTACTAATATATCATTCTGCAAATAAGTCATCTAATGGGAATGGGTTGCTAGTAATATATCTTATTCATATATTATTAGTTTCGAGCTTGATTTAATTTCATATTGATTTGATATTATTGAATTCGTTTTTGATTGAATACGTTAATTGATCGATCTATAATCATTATTTAAAGAATAATTATAGATTTAATAGAATTAAGAATTTGGCATAAGGTTTTTCTGGATTTTTTGAAAGTTGTAATTCGATCTTTCTCTCATATTATATAAATTTTGATAGTTCAAAATAAAAAGTTTCTAATCTAAATGATATATATGATTATATTATATTTTAATGATATATCTTTAATATATAAAATTGATGATTTATATAGAAAAGAGGAAAGACGATATTATTGAGAATATTATTCGAATTGATTATGATTATTAGATGAGGTAAATGATTTTTGAATCGTCATAAATGTATAAGGATATGAAAATAGATGAATCGAGAAATTGATGATTTTATATCTATAAGATTTTGGTTTTCTAAAGATGATTCTTTGATAGATAGAGAAGGAGATCATAATATTAATGGTTCTGAAAATATATAGGATGAAATTTCTGATAAGATATAGAATTCTTGATATAAATTTATTTCTTTGAAAATTTATTTCGTCGAAAATATTCGCTTAATAATTATTCTTTAGATTTATTCGAAAATTAAATTGGATATATTAATATCTCTACTATGATTATTGAATTATATTGAATATTCGAATTCTCGTATTCGCTAAAAAGATTTAATAATTCTCTTCTTAGATTTTTTGATATTTCGATAAATCATTTATAAGTTACTTGAATATTTTCTTTCGAGATAATCGAATTTCAAAATAATTTTCGTCAGATTTCATTCAGAAATGAAAAATGAATTTATTATCATGAATAGGATTCTTGACGCAGATTTTTCTTCTGCAAATGAGACAATATATTTATATTGCCCCCCCCCCCCTTTCTTTTGCCCTCCCCCCTCTCAAGATCCATATGGGAGGCGCTTTCGCTTGCAGATTTCTCAAATCTTTGGAATTTTAGTTTTGGAATTGGTATTATGGTAAAAATTCTTTTTAAAATCCAATTGAGAATCAAATAGAAATCCCGGAATCTTGGAAGTCTAATTTTGGAGGCGGCTTTGATTTGTATATATTCTTCTTGAAATCCGATTACGGATTAAAGAGAAATCTCGGAGTCTTGGAATTCTAATTTTGAAGGGGGCCTTGTTTTATGTAAATTGTTGTAAAGCCTTATTGGAAAAGAAA